ATGAGAAGGTCCCGGTCAACCCTAAACCTCGCCACGTCACCCCTTCCAACCGCGTCCTGGGCCCCGGTCCTGAAATCACTGATTCTCCTTGACCCCGCTCTGTCTACTCTTGGAAGACGGACGATGGGCATCTGTGAACCTGCGCGAGGTTCCGATATGAGTTCGCTCGATGCCCTTCGAATATTCTCTGATCGTGCGCCGCTTCTTCTTTAGCATCCACTTGAGCAAATGAGTCCTCGCCTCATCACCTACTCTGCTTTTGCTATTGGCGGTCCGCAACCCTCCCCTGACGCGACAATCTTCCTCTGGCTTTTCAAAGTCTTGGGCGTGACCAAGACGTCAACATCAAAACGTGCCGTTCTGTCCTGCTGTCAGCTTGATGCTTAGGCGACAAGAACCGGTGCGTACCTTTTCGCCCTTCTGGCGCGCAAGCCCCTTTCGAACCTTCGCTCAAAAATGAAACGTCTGGCTCTCAGCTGATCTCTGATTTCCTTCTTTACAGGTGTCTGCGGGAGCGGCGCCGCCTTCGCGTACCGGACGCGGTGCTTCTTCAACAGCGACCCCCAGGGCCGCTACGTGTGCTGCGACAACTTCGGATGCGACGGGTTCAACGCCGACAACCTGACGCCGCGCTGCAAAAACAATGGCTTCGTGCCGCCCAACAACGGACTGCCCGGGCCGTCTCCCCCGAGCACTCCCCCGAGCACTCCCCCGAGCGGAAGCCAGGGTACGTGCATCTACCGACCAGTCTCTTCCGGGGTGTGGTCTCGCCTCAGTGCCGTCTTCGGCCGAATGCTTTCGGCACGCTTGAGTGATTAACAGAGGTTGACTTAACTCTAGCGTTTGTGATGAGACAGCTTTTTAATGCCGCGGTCAGGAGCTGCAGTGACTAAGGACCTGCAGTATGCGTTTATGTTACGAAAGAGCTCTGAAGTTTCGAGCCCTATCAAGTAGGTAGCAAGTGATTTGACTATGTCCCGCGAATGCATGCGGCATGGATCTGTCCTTAGGAAAGCGATCCGGCGTTTGATGCCTCTCTAAACACAGTTTCCTTCTTCAGTTGACGCCTCTTTCGCTCGAGTCACCTTAACTCTCTCCACAACGGCCAATTCAGTTCACTTTTTGGAGTTTTTTACTTTTTACGGTTTTTCTTTTAGGGTTTCATTTTTTTACCCTGAAACCCTACAACCTTTCCACTCCCTCAGGCGTTTGCGGCGGCGGTGCGGCATCTGACTTCCCCACGCGGTGCTACTTCAACAACGACCCCCAGGGCCGGTATGTGTGCTGCGACGGGCAGGGCTGCGACGGATTCAACGCCGACAACCTGACGCCGCGCTGCAAGAACAACGGCTACGTCCCGCCCAACAACGGGCTGGCTGGACCCTCCCCCCCGAGCACTCCCCCTAGCGGCTCCCAGGGTAAGAGACGTGTTAAGCCACGTGTTCAGTGTTCGGAGGATCGACTTCGGTGCGAGCAGTCCTACCCCTCAAGCACGCTTCGAAGGTCCGGAAGCGTCATTTGTACTTTCGAAAACTCGTAGTCCCAGTGAAAGCACCGGGCGTTTCTTCTCGATTGACTTTGGGCCTTTGTCACAGCGCACTTGGCTAGTATAGTAGGAAGCACCACGTGCCTTCTCCGTGAAAGAACTCAAGCGGTCTTGAATATTCGTAAGCTTTGACGAGTGTGAGGATCTATCACCCTTGAAAAATCTCTGGGTGCAAAGGCTTGACGAAACCTCTAACCACAACCGGATGCGCTGCACATCTACACCAAAGTTACCACCAGACTGAGCTAAGAGTCCCCTAAGCATCGCCTTAACGATGTCAGATCCGTACATGCCTTTCTTTTCTCTCCTTTACAATCTCGATGCGACAATCAGCTGACGAGCCGCTGCCACAAGCTCTAAGTCACAGCCTAAGACCATCTCACCTTTAGTCAGGTTGACGTTTGAAGGGTGGTACCTCGAATCTGAAGACACAATTTGAGCCGTCGCTGGTCATGTTGCTGAACGTTTTACCGTACCGATTGTCCGGTTGGGCAGGCCTTTGCCAAACATTCAAATTCGTGCGCTATGGAATTTGGGCAGATTCATTTACTAGTTTAATTTATTCTCTTACGGGGCGAAATGATGTGTAAATTTGAAATTGGAATGTACTGTACATTCAAGAATCTGGGCAAGTCAAAGAATATTTATTGGTCTCTGAAGACCAGGCATCGGATGCTGATGGCCAAACAATACCAAATTCGAAACCTGTTGTAACAGCACTTCGGAATGAGCAGAGTTCTGACCAGCGTCCTCCTTTCCTTTGTTGAAAAGAGGGCGCAGTAAAGCCTGTGGCATCCATAGGTTAGTCTGCAATCAAGGAGCTTTGATACCTCATTTGCGTGTGAACGCCACCGTGTGAACGCCATTCTGGCGTCTTCTCCGCCTTCTCAGACTCGCTTGTGATCGTTCTTGGCCGAGGACAGGGTTCCATCGCTTATGGAAAAAGTGCGTGTCTGGTTGCAGCGTTGCAATGTGCTAAGAGACGAGTCCGTAAGAAAAAACCCGGATGCATAGTGCTCTGATTTCTCACACTAAATCAGGACCCATATTAAGTACGGTCTTTAAGGGGACTATACGAACGCTGCCGTCTGAAAAGTCCCCTCTTCAGAGACCATATGCGCTCTAAAAATGTACTCCAAATCATAAGAACAGTTTTGTCTGAAAAGTCCCCTTTTCTGGACTGGTGCGGGATTACATCCTCCCTGCCCATACTGAAATGTGTACTGAAAACCGGGTCTCGATTCACTGCGTCAGCCGCGTGTTCTCGTACCCTCTACAGATAAAAGTGAATTTTAATGGTAACAAGGTCTAATCGTAAATAAGGACGGGTTAGGGTGGGTTCGTGTGCGGAGCGAGTCAATTAGTGCTTAGGGTTTTAGTGTTGATAACCAGGAAATTCCTCTTTGTTATTACTATTAGATCCTTGTTACCATGAAAGTTTATGGTTATCTCTACAGGCGTCTGCGGAACGGGTGGTGCCACAAATTTCCCGCTGCGCTGCTGGTTCAACAACGACCCCCAGGGCCGCTACGTGTGCTGCGATAACGACGGATGCAACGGGTTCAACCCACCAGACAACTCGTTCCCCCGCTGCAAGACCAACGGCTATGTGCCCCCCGGGTTCGGGATTTAGTTGGTGAGGCTTATATAAAAGAGGCGTCTGATTTCAAAGCTCACTAGTGGCATCTGAGTCCTGAGGGGAAGTATCATCGGACGGATCACATTGTCTCGCAAGTTTTGATTGGAGCGACCTACCGACACAATCTACGCGGTATGTGGTCGCTGAGGCGTTACGGGTCCTAGTATACGCCCTCTTTGAACGCACACGCAGTACAGGAGTTTGTCGACCCTGTTGTGCTTGTACGTTCCAATCAGGCAACTATTTTCTACGAGGGCCCCCTAGCCAGCAACAGGCGGTTCTTTTCTGGTTCGAGTTAACTTTAACGTTTAGGAGTCATCAGGTACTAGGTCGAGGCGTTCAAGCAGAGGATCGAAGACTAACCTGACCCGATTATGGATCCCTACGAGTCGTCGCTTAACATTACGGCACGCTCTGACAAGTCGTCGTTCGCAGTAGTGTCAACCAAACACCCGGACATGCACGGATTCGCCTTTTGACACGCGTGAGGAGAGCTAGATTCATAATTGTTTCATGTAGTTTCTGGCCAATTTAAGTTAGAAGAGGGAAAGGTGGCCACTTTTCACCGGCACGTGCATACCGAGAGAACAAATTTGACTCCTATGTAGCCTAGGAGGGTGAAAGTCGTCCCCAAAAAGCTTAAGTTAGCCGTGAAAACGCCGTTCTGACAATGGGCCATACTGCCGGCCGCAAAAAGTTTCGTGCAACGGGCGCTCGGTAGCATGCTACTTTCGAGTATCAGAAGTCACTGTGTGCACTCTCATGCTCAAGCAAGCCTGCAGTCTAATTGTTTCTAGTGAATGTTGCATCGGACTCGGGACGCGTCTGTGCATGCATGCCTCTCGACGCTGTGGCATGGAACTCGTTGTGGCATGTATGCGTGCATGCGACAGTTCCTCAAAAATGGCAAGACAGCATTCCAAACTGCCCTCCTGCCGTCACGTGCGTGCATCATCCAGCGTACAACCTAGCTCGATAGCGTCCATTGAACCTGTGAGAAGTAGACTGATTTATCCGCGATGTGCACGCGGCCGAAACCGGCTGAACAATCTGCGTGCAATATATTGCATGACGGTGGACCGCATTGAAGGGCGCCGAGTCGTGTGGGCAGAGGGCCGTTGTCGCAAATCACATGCGAATCAGGTTCTATTTCTTCATTGGAGTGACTCTCGATTGAATGATTAATCTGCCTTTCATTGCTCAGCTACGGCCTGAGTGCGGCAGACAAGTCGTCAATGAAGGCAAAAGGATTAGACGCCGCGGCGGTATACTTAGTCAGGTACACGCGGTCCCGCCCGGTGAAGCAGGCGGCATGCAGCTACATGTATGGCTGTAACATTCGCTCTAACTTGACTCGTGACAAGCAACAGCAACAGCCATGTATCATGCAAGTTGCAGTTCAATGATTACATGGTCAAACAGACTTCGACAGACGTACTTCTAGAGGAAGCGCGACTTGTACATTTGCAGGCAAAAAATTGAAGATTGTGCCGCCGACTTGGGACTAAATAACGAGTTCTGGACGCAATTCTAGGAGGTACTCAACGCTTCTTATGGTAACCGCTAGAGTAAATATTATCTTAATGCGCTACAAAAATCCACCTACGACTCAATTCCCTTATCATGGCTCTACCCAACTGCCCGCAATAATGACGTTCCCAGAACGGAGCCAAGCCATTCCTGTTTCGACATCTTCCGTTGATCACTTCTGCACTCGACTCGACCCTCGTTTGAATGTGCAGATGTGATCGTGGTCATCGACCCTATCCTTCGATATAACCCACAACATTCTTTTCATCCGACCGGAACCGGAACCGGAACGGAACCAGAATAACGACCTAGATCATCGCAACAGCGGCGAGGACAACGGATGCCACCACGATGGCGACGTTGGATTGCACTGCAAAGCGAACGTACGTCAGACACGGAAGGATAGAAGTTGACACTGGTTAACATTATATTCGACCTTGGAATGACGGCTTACGGAGGAAACTGCTAACAAAGAATGGGTGTCACAAGAGTGAGTTCTGAAGAAGATCGAGCAGCACAAAAGGTCTGTGCAACTTCTGGCCCCCTTCGGACACCCATCTATAAACCCTGATACATGTGTTCCATGTCAAGAGCCGGAAACTTGAGACCTCACCGGAGGTTTCTCCCCGTGGATTAGCCTCGTGCGCAGTCAGGCTACAAGCGACGCGTGTCAATCGCTATACTAAAAGCTACTGATCAGGAATTGTAAACTCAACAATTAGCACCTTGTGGAGCGAGCGCCTAGAATTCAAGCGAGGACTCTCCACACCGAAAAATCTTTTACGGCTTGAGAAAAACAGAGGCTTGGCTCACCAGAGAACGCCCCCGCAGTGAGCGGCGTGTTGGCCTCGACAGCGTCCATGCTCTGGTATGCGCCATACGCTTTGCCCATATAAGCCTGCGCCGTTCCGTTGTACCCGACCAGACGGATCGCATCCGACTGGAAGACGTACCCCTGGGTGTTCTTCCCGCGGTACACGGCGTCGACGAACTGGGGGCGGAAACGGAACGGAACTTTAGCTTTTCAAGTCATAAAAAAGAGTAGTAAGGATGGTCTGGAGAATCGAACTTCAAGTGCGGATTGAAGTGAGACGAGAAAGTTGAGACGGATTCAAGCTTACCTGGTGAAACAGAGAAAACGGGAGGGCTATGCAGCTTTTGGATTCCCAAGAACTGATCTGATCGTGACAATTTGAACTCCTAAGGCGGATTGTGTAGGAAGCAGAAGACCGAGACGAAGTCTAAGTTCCTGAGGAAAAGCGATTCTTGTGCTCTGACTGAAAGAGAGCAGATCAATTCGGTCCTTGTGGAAACAGGCTCCGCTGAAAGCGCGAGAACTGGCGTCAGATCAGCGGGAGAAAGAAGACTTTGATCGTGGTGCTGTCAAAAAGATTTTCAGCTGGGGTGATAGTTTCCCCAACGCATGCGTGCTTTCTCACCTCGGGATCGCTGTTGAGAGCGGCAATCGTCGTCTGCAAATTGGCGATGGCGGCGGGGGTCGCCTCAGCATACGTCACAATCGCGCGCGACGGGACAGTCACGGAGTTGCAGCGCGCATAGTCGTTGAAGGTGGTGCAGCCTCCGTTGGGGCATAGGATCCTGCGCAGGGGGGTAAAAACGTTAATATTTTTATGGGGGGGTAACACGGAGGAAAGCCTTTTAGAGCAGCTTGGTGAAGATAGGTTTGCTTGACCAGATCACAACTCAAGTGCCCGATCAGTTTGTGTGATTGGGGCCATACACGTCCGGAAAGAAAGAGCCCAAATATTTGCGGATGTCAGAATCCGACCAGACATAGGGACCGATAAAGGGAGCAAGGATCGGATCAGAAATCAAGTCGAATCAGAAGACCAAGGATCGGCTACTAAGCGTAAGGCCTTCGCTTATTACAAAACCGTTGACATCGAGTTCGAACAACACCCAAAAAAAAAGAGGCGTCTTCAACTGCACCGCAAAACCTTATAACACGCTCACTTAAGTGCCCAACCGGCGTTTCGGCCCACGCGTTGGGTTTTAGGTTCAAGAGGTTTTTGGGTTAGGATTTAGGGGCTAAAGAAGCGGCCCCCTCACCTGAAATTACCGACCGGCCTCTCCGCCCATGCCTTCGCCTTCGGCTGTCCCGCCGCATAATCGCCCAGAACGTCGTGCTTCGTGAATCCGATGTCACCTCCACCCTTCTCCACGCAGTAAAGCACGCCCTCGTAGTCCCAGTAGTTGCTCGAGTTGCTGCCCGCGCAAGCCGCGCCGGGGCAAAGAGTGCAGATCCGGGGGGATCCCTCTGCGCCACCCGCGCACGTCTTGCCGAAGAAGTTGGTCACGGACTCGATGTCGTTCTTGAGGGTCGGGTCGCGGTTAACCGCGGGGATAACCCCGGAGCTGATCAGGTTTCCGACGGGCATGTTCCAGCCGGCGGTGCGGCCGTAGCCGGTGTGGCAGGAGGCCTTGCCTGGGGGGAAAAGAAACGGGTTAAGGAGCGGGTTAGGGGTGAAGGATTCACGAGCGGGCGGATGAAGGAAAACGGTTTCGGGGTGTGCGTGGATGGCCGGTGCAGTAGCTGGGGTAATGGACTCGGGTTGGCGGAACACTTCCATCTGATCAGATGACAGAAGCAGAGTTTGCAAAATCCTGAGAAATCTTGAGTGTAAGAAGAAGCGAAACAGGAGGCTGATCTGGCAACAACGTTTGAACAGACATCTGATCAGACAATCCCGTGTGACTAGCGAGAAACGAGAAGATACTTCAGATTAAGGCACCTTTAGCAAGAACAAGAAGCTCCTTCAGGATTACGAGACTCCTGTAAAAGCGATGTATGTGAAGGCCAGAGAGGGTTTCAAACACCAAAGCAGACACTTTCACACAGAGGAACACAACTGTAAATGACAGAACTGCTTGCATTACTTGCTTCAGAATCTTACGAGTGTTGTTCCTACTTAGCAAACGGCTGGCAGTCAACTACGAGCCAACGAAAGGCAGGTTGGATTGGAGAAAGCGACTCAAAGCAGAGGCCTACTAATGGAAGGGTTTGAAAGTGGGGTACAGACTACTTGTGCATTGAGAGCTGGGTCGACTTTGAAGAGCACAAGTGTGATGGCTGAAAGTATGTAAATGAAACGATATCCTTCAAAGGAGTGTCAAGGAAAACAGGGCAGAAGCTCACCTCTGTAGTCTCTAACGGTGAGGGCGGGGTTCCTGTCGCAGTCCTCCTTCCTGACGATAGCGACTGCGTAATAAGCGGCAGCCCCCACGGGATACTCCTCGAAAGCGACCACTTTAACACCGGTCGGAATGGCGGTGTAAAGGGTGCCGGGCGACATGATGTAATAGTCGACCTCACGGTTCTGGATGGCGGTGGCGCAGCCAGCGGCATTCGCTTTCTGGACGCTGCAGGAAAAGCAGGCGAAGTGAGTTAGGTTGAGTTTAGGGGTCGGTTAAGAGTTGGTCAGGAGTGCTTAGAGTTGGTCAGGCGGTGGTTACGCATTGAATAGGAGTGGGTTAATGTTGGTTAGGAGTTGGTTAGTGTTGGTCAGGATTCTGTAAGGGGTTAGCAAAGTTGGTTAGGAGCTTGGCAAGTTAGCTAGGGGTGGTTAAAGTGTGGGTCAGGAGCTCAGGACTGTGTCAGGCTTAACCAGAAAAAGTAAGTGGAACCTAACCTTCTCTACAGCAGTGGAGAAGGAAGAAGAGCTCTCTGATGCTGGTAGGAGCTGTTACAAGATCATCCCAGAAGTGGGTACGGAGAAGAAGTTGAGGCAGGTCAGCAAAAAGACAATTAGAATGTGGAAGAGTGGGACTGGTTTACGCGACGGCACCCTGACTCGCAAGAGGTGATGGTGGTTCTTTCTCTACTTACTCGTGCAAGTGAAGAAGGCGACATGGGTGAGACTGTCAAACAATCTACTCTGCGAAGTGTCAAAGGCGATGAGTAAGAAGGAATACAATGAGCCACGTTCCTCCTTCTGGGGGTAGCAGAAAGGGAGGGAGCAAGAAGAGCAGATACAGAGGAAGAAGGACTGATGGTTCAATAACTTGACTGTTACCGGGGTGACTGGACTTTACAGAACGAAATTGACCAAGGTTGCTCGAGACCTGCGCATTGCGACCCCTGAGCTCATATCTGCAGACCCCTAACAAAGAAAGCACAGCACACTCCAGACTCGAACTTGATGAGTTCAAATAGACCCTGAAAGACACACTTGCTCAAACAGCGCGGTGCCTCACCAAGACCACGTGTTGCCGGCAGGGTCGTTTGCTTGGAATTCCGCCATGAGGGTGCGGCAGAAAGCGGTCTCGCCAGTGGATGTGGTACACCATCTTTGCTCTGCAAGGGGGGGGTAGACTTCAGGGCAAACTCTAGGAGGGGGTCCAGAATTCAAAAACCCTTTCGTGTGGACATCGGGTTTCAAAATGAGTGGGGAATGGGAGAGCAGACTTGGCGGAAGGAGGAATCCAAGAAGCAACAGCTGGCGGCATGAGAAGTGGCTAGCTTCAGGTCACCATTTTACAACAAATTTCCCAGACACAAGCATTCAAGAGCCATTAGACTTTTGACTTAAGGGCGAGAGCCCACCACTAGAACGTTTCTTGAATGCATATTGTACAAGCGCAACCCTATCTTGCCGCTTCAGGAAAGAACAAGCATTGCAGTATATCACACTCCGAGCTTGTGGCGCAACGACATTTGTGAAACACCACTTTAGAAGCAGATCCTTTAAGCCTTTGGAGCCCAAGTTCGCAGACTTACCGCCAGCTGTCTGCGCCAAGGCCACCCCCAGAAGCGCGGCGGCAAACAGTAGCACCGCTATGCAGTTCCTCGAAACGCTCCCCATGTTTGACAGACTCTGCTTTGCGCTTGCGCGGGCTTATGAGTGGTGGTGGTGTGAAGGAAAGATGGCGCTAATCCTAGAATGCAAGCGTGCTTCTCTTGAAATCCAGAAGAATGATGTGATGGCTTGAAGAACAGGCTTTATCTGCTAGGCCGAAATCCGAGGAAGCGGATTGTAACTGCTTGCTCAGTCTAGCGGTCTACAGCGCTGTTCAAAGGTACCTAAGAACGATGGAGTGGGATGCCAGCTAATGGGCTTTGAGCTTCAGTAGGTAGTGATCGAGGCCGGAAGAGCTCATTCAGGATTGTGACGTAGACAGAGCTTGCACAGTGGTAGAAACTGTTGGCCTGTCCCTGTAGCCTCACAGTACCGTAGGCTGGCCGCTTTAGGCTTCTGAACAGAATCCCAAGCCGGATTAGCGTGTCGTAATAATTGCCGCATTGAAATCTTGTGTCAACATTAGTGTCAGCATTTACTGTCGACACAATCATGGCCACACCAGCACGTGTGTTCGACGTTCGCAATTTGCAAACCTGTTAACTAGCCGGTTAACAAGACTCGGTAAACACACAAGCCGGTTTCGTTGCACGGCAGGTGACTTACCGTAAATCTGCGGCAGATATAGAACCCTAATGGCTAAACCAGGACAGAAACAACGCCAACCCAGGTCGGTAACAGCCAAAAGCAAATGCTAACCCTAAAAATACTTATCCACTCCGCGTCGAAAGCGTGTGCCGAACACACGTGATGGCGGCGCGCCAGCAGGTTTCTCACGACGAGGAGGAAGACAGAAGCTAGACAGCATGTGCCAGCCACGAGCTTTCCACTGGCGGTCACGACTGAGTGAGGTCACTTTTGGGGCCTTTGTTATACTGGCCAGTGCCAACTGTCAAGTACAACTTTTGAGCTTTCAACATTTGAGCACCTTACATTGATTCACGGCACTCGGGCACCTAAACCAACAGCCCTAAACTAGAAGCGAGGAGGCTATAGGCTGTAGCAGCACAGCCGGGTAAGCTTGCGCCGGGCGGATTGAGACCAATAGCAATTTATGATACTTCCCGAGATGCCCGGAAGATAAGGCCCCGGTAGCCTCCGCGAGATCCGGTTAAGGGGGTCCGCACTAGGTATTTGCAACACCAGGAGCCTGAAAGAAGACTTCACACCGGGGAACTTCCCCTTGTGACAGGCAGTGTTACCAGCCGGACCACCAACCGGGCAAGCTGTCCGGCAAAATGAACTTAACCGCAGACCCTGCAAGCACCGGGTGCCCACCGACCCGGGGGCTTCTCGGATGCTGCACTAGACTGCACCAGTCAACTGCTGAAACCACCCGGGCAGCGGCGCAGTCTGCGAAGTTACATTATTATTGACACTCAAATTACGCGAGAAAACATAGAGGAGTAAGAGAGTACAGACGGTGCCAATTAGCCAATCAAACTGCAGGGTTGCCCAAAACGTCTCTAAAGAACCTCCTAACAAGATGTTTACGCGCTCCTTCCTGACCTGTACCACCCTAACCTGCAACTTAACTTGACCCCTCCCCCGGGTAGTTAGCTTAGTGCAGGTGGCCTTTACCGTAGTCCAGTCGAACTTTGCCAAAGTTGAAGATTGTCAGGAAAGGGGCAGTCAACCTTGGTTTCACCCTATGCAAGCTTGTCAAATCGCTCAACTTCACTCTTATCAAAAGCTGGATTCAAGCTTACCAGCTTGAGGCGGATGGAGTTGCATAGGCCCAGCTAGGGGGGGGTGATTGGAAAGCGCCAGGTGGACTCTGAGGGTTAGAGTCAGCAACCTCAATGGCTGTCTGATTACGTTCAAAACTGGGAATTTTCCACTGCGCACTTCCGTTCTAGACTGACGTGCACTTGCAAATCCCAGGCGGAACATACATTTGATAGATCTAGGGGAGTGCGGAAAGGTGATGCAGGGCCGAAAGTTTCGCCTCGTTTCATTGCCAAGCTGAGCATTACAACGACACCTGAATACTTGAAGTGATTCCAGGTATTGGGGTTGAGGATACGAAGCGCAAACCGTACAAATGGTTGGGAGTCAAGCTTTTCTATGACAACCCGTCCTGTTTCAATGGTCCTTCCCAATCTCAGCGTTTGAGGTCACCCTGTGATTAAATGTTTTTTTCCTTCGCGCGCTAGCAAAGCTCCTGTGGTGAGGCGCAATCTACGGCGCACTTCCAAGACACTCCCAGACAGAACCGTGGCTTTTTCAACTTTGCAGACCCGCTGGTGCGGCGGCTCCAAAGAGGTCCACTCCAGAGAGCTGAAGGCAGCCGGCCGAGGCGTCGCGCACGCTCGTGAATCGAAATCTGCACGCGGTCAGATGTAATTTGATTTCTGATCGACTTGTAACAGTAAGCCCGATAAAACAGCAACTAGGAAGGGTGGGATTAGTGGAGCGGTCAGGGTGGGTGCCAACGCGTAGCCCGTTGAGCTTTTCGTGGCTCTATTCAGATTTAACGCACTATTGAGGATTCGATGGGCTTACTCTTTACTAGATTCACTCTTACAGGACTTAAACTCATTTCCGGAAGGTGGTGAAGCCGAGGAAATTATTTCCGAAAGAGCTCCAGCGCGTGTGGGTTTCCTTTACCAACAGCGGCCGAAGGAACGAACAAAAAAGGGCTTTGATTCGTGTCAAACTTAGTGGTAAATGGTGCATTTGACTGCCTGGACGTTTGTCAAGTATCATGGAAAGTTCAAAGGCGACTTTCACTTTTTCTTCAGCGTCACATGCGGGCGAAGCTGGCAGCCTTTCGGATGATTGGCATTGAATCCGCAAGTTTCAACACGATCGTGCATCGCAGACCCAGTATTCGTTCTCCCAGCAGCTAAATCCGGGCAAGAAAGTGTAATACGAATGCCGAAGGGCGTCATCAGCAAAAGGATGACCTCAAACAAACTTCCGCCAACACGTCCCGAGGATTCGCGTCAAGTGACGCTTGTAGAAGACCAAATAGATCGGATGACAAGGACGTCAAGCGAGTAGGGAAAGAGTACGTCATCCGTTCATAGTGTCTAACGAGCTGAAATTGCTGGAGTCCAGACCAAAACGTCTTGATAGACAGGAGCGCACCTCGAGCACCAACTTCGAGTCGGAGTCTCAAACTTTCTCCACTGCTTGTTTCGAGCGCTGTAGAAGCGTACGTGTAGCCATGCACCATCCAAAGCTTTAGACGTTCCCTCTGTTTCTCTGAAGCGAACCATCCTAATGTGACAGACAATACCGCCTCTTCAATAGCACCAACTTTGAGCCCTGGTTCCAATCTTGAAGATCCCTGTTTGTGAAAGCGAGTTTAAGAAGCGAGTAGAATGTTTCCTAAGTCATAAAATCTGCAGCACCCTGGCCGTGACCAACAAAGCTTGCCCCGGTATAGGTGACCGGGCACCCATGGGCTCACCTGAAAGTGGTGTAGGCCGCTCGGTTCGGTCCACCGGGCACGTCGAAGCTGCGCAGCTCGTTCCGTTCGGAGAACTGGACACCGTTCCGGTGGTCCAGAACGTGCCACGTGTCGCCATCAGAGGACGCCTCCAGGGTCCAGCTGGCGGGGTCTCGTTCGGGGCAGTCCTCCGCTGACGTCAGCGAGTAGCGGGAGAGCACCGCGGGCTGCCGACAGCGGTACTGCAGCCACGACTTTCCTGAAGCGAAGAGTATATCAAAAGGCACTGAAGCTTCTCATCGACACGCCTTAAGGCAGAGACGAGGAAGCATTCGTTAATCACAACCAGATACACATAATCACTCGCCCACGGGTCTCAAGTCGCAGAAGTTATTTCGAGGGTAATCGACCGGAGATATCCTTTGCAAAGGCTTGCAGTGTCTCTCTCGAATTCCAGATCAGCTGAACCACAATACTGAGCTTCTCTTGAGACGCGGCCGTTCCTGGAGGATAGCCTCAATCAAGCCGCGTGCGTCCGATCCTCAAAAGGAGTGAACTTCATCGACTTTGGTTTTAGGGTTTTAGGGTTTTAGGGTTTTAGGGTTTTAGGATTTTAGGGTGTAAACCGGCTGACCGTGTTTCTGAGGGCGCACGATGATGATGCATACAGCTGTACCGATGCGCCTCCGAACACAATTGCCTATCGACGTCGTAAGATCGAGAACTCGCTCTAGATGCAGCTACAGTGGGACAAGGAAATCAAGCTAAGAGCCCAGAAAGGAAGGTGCAAGCCACAAAATGTAACCACGCCTTCATCAGAGCTGTTAAGAATAGCAAAGCGTCCGGGAGGGATGCACGCTACTGACTCCTCGCCCTATGGGATCGGGAAGCAACTATTGACTTGGATTGAATTGATAATGTCTTTTTGGCCCGCTTTGTAGACTCAAGTCCGAACGGAATTGGCAGACGGGTGACCAGTATATTGAAACAAACCCGAATCGTACCGATAAGCTTCCCGTATGTCAGATAAGCTTCAGCCAAACCGTACGAAGAAAGACTTCAGGACTGAAGCGAGAGTTTAATATTACTAGTAACGAACATAAGTCGGCCACAGCGCTTCGAGTAACGCACCTTCGTGGCCCCCGTGTACCAGCCATTTGGAAGCCTTTACTCCCTCAAACGCGGCGGTCGCCTGCAGTAAAAATCCACACAATTCATTCATAATTCTACACAATTCTACATAATTACTTGGTACAACGGCAAACGATTGAAGATGCTGTCATGATCTCTCTATAGTCCAAACTCCTTCTGCAGCTTTTAATCACAAGAACGCAAACAACAGTTGAAGGATGCAAACGCGAAGTGGATATCCGGATTTGAAGCCTTGGGAAAGATTTGCAAGAGCCGAGTCTGTGTGCTGGTCGTACTATGCGCGAGCAGACCTGAGAAGCCTTCTTTCACTGGAAGCCTGTGCTTTCAAAACCCTTCTATTGTGGATATCAAATACTCCATCAGGATCGACCTGAACCGCCGAAAGCAGTGATGAGGTTGATATTCCCTCTAAGAGCAGAGTCGAGGCCAGGAAAGTTGAGAAACGGCTACAATTTGGTTGAGATGAATCTCCCTGTTGGCGCTGATGAAGCTCTATTGAGTTGCGAACCCTCGAATAATCACCTAACGAATCCATCCAAGCCATTAGCATCTACCTGATATGTTTAGCAATCTCCTCTAGATCGCGAAAAATGAGACCATGAAAGGTTGAAGACATCGATATTCAGGGTTTTAGAGTTCTTGGATCGAGATTCTCACAATCTGGTTGGGCGCGTTTTCTCCGCTGGTACTCACGAACCCTCCGCTCAGTCGCGGCCCCGAAGCGTAAACGAAGCCCGGGGTTTTCAGTTGAACCAGTAGGGACTCTATTATGTCCACGGAAATCGGCAGATTCCGCGCAATGTGGGCTGGCGGAGACGAAGGAAGCAACCTGCTACGAGCGAGAGAAATGTCAGAACATCTTGAGAGATAGAAGTGTTGAGTTTGTCAGGGCGTAAACGGATAAGAACCTTCTGATGGGCCAGTAGGGACTCAATACTGTCCACGGCGATGGGCGGATTCCGCGCAACGTGGGCAGCGGAAGCCAAAGCGTTCAACCTGCCAAGAGGGGGAGAAATGTCAGTGGTTCAGAAAAAGAAGTATTGAGTTCACTAGGGCATACACGCCGCCCGGGCTTTCCAATTGGGACTTTTTAACGTCCACGGCAACTGGCAGGTTACACGCGACGTGGGCAGGGAGGAGAAGAAGGGAGCAGCCTGCCAGGAGCGTGAAAACTTTTGAAAACGCCTCCAGAAGGGCTGGCAATATGTCAGATTTAAAAATGCAAACAACCAGATTCTGCGGGACGCGTGCAAGCAGTAGTAGGCAAGCAAGCTTGCGGACAGTTGGGTAACAAACGAGACGCCCACTATAGTAAGAGACAGCCGAGGATTCGCTGAAGAATGTCAAACGTGATTGGTCGATCTGGGCCGGGGGGAGCAACCTGCTAAAAGCGAGAGAAACCTTAACTCGCCTCCAGAAAGAGAGGTGAAGCATACTTTTGGGGGGAGATGCCGCAGCAATGGAAAGGGTTTGCACAAGCGGGCGAGTGGCAACCAAGGAAAATGCTTGCAGATGTTCAGGACAAGACCTGAGACGCCCTAAGACAGAGATACGGCTGAAAGACATCAAGGCCAACTGTCGATTAGGCGTCGGCAGTGTTGAAGAACCTCGCTCTTCGAGAATCGAGGGTATACTTAGTCAGGATGGCGCTGTTGTTATTGGTAATATTGCTTCTGTGCATCCGTCAGTATGCTGAAGAAGCGGCCGAAGCGAGGAGCTATGGTGGCAAGAACGGCGAAGCGAGGAGCAAGTCTTGCGGAGCAGCCTAGCTCCTAAAGCAAGCGCGCATTTGATAACGGTGTTTTTCGAAGACACTTTTTCAAACAGGCCGCACGCTTCTGCATCGCCCACCAGAACGTTGCCTTTGTATTTTTCAGCGGTCTGGTTCAATCGTCCTTCCAATCCCACTCCTTTCTTCCCTTTCCGTACACCCACTCTTTGAGGTTAGCTTTGACCAGCCAACTCTTCTCGGCTACAAACCAGCCCGGCATGCTCACCTCAGCATGACGTCATCTGTCTCGACCCGGAAGCCCACCGCCTCCAGCAGCTTGCCGCCGCCCCCCGCCGTCAACGCGTCCCGATACGCCGCCCCCCCCTTGGCCGACAACTCTCGCCCGTTCACACTTTTCCCCTCTGCAACTTCCAACTTCCGTTCCTTCCACCGCAACGCTCTCAACCCCTTCGCGGTCTGCAACACCAACGTCAGCTTCGAGTACATGACGTCATTCGGGGGCACCCCCCGCTGCGCGGCGTTCGTTTTCGCGACCTCCCACATGGCGTCGATCGGTGCCCACAGCGCAGCCACGTGTTCGTCCCGGGCGGGCCGTTCTCCTTCCCAGGGGGTGCCGCTGGTGCTGGTTTCGGCCCCCCCTAGCTCGCCTCGAGCGGCGCGCCACTCCACTGAGCCAGTTTGCCGACCCGGGAGGTTGGCACTTTCGGGTGACGGGCTGTGAGGAGAGGGAAGGAGAGTGGTTCTCAGTGGCTTTCATTGAGGGGGTTGAAGTACCCTGCTGCGCTGAAAAAGTAAGAATCTCAACCTTGGTCGTCAGGTTGCTCGAAGGAGTGTCTTGGTTGAAAGGCGTGTGAGCAAACTAAAAGTGAGCACTTCTACAAAAGCAGGCATACGGTCGCTTGAGGCGTGAGGGTTCTGCTCAGCAGAGCGTGTAATTGTCGACAGTGCACTCGCAGTCGACTAGGAGAGTTCCAAGTGGTCAGCTTGTCACGCAGTCGGACCGTCAAATCTTCCAATCATGGCGTCAGACTTTTGAGGAACTAAAGGAGAGGATGACGGATCTAAAAGGATGGGAACGTCATGCGAAAGAAAGAAAGATGAGGAGGAAGTAGCATCAATCTTTTTATTCTCGACGCTGGACAGGCACCCGAAGTCAGCCAGATGAAGCAACGTCAAAAAGGCGGCAGCTACCGGTTGATAGCGCACCGCCTACTCGGACAAATCATTGGCAAAGCGACTTGACCGCTTTGCCCTCTCTGAACGACCGAAAGTAAAGACTCTCATAACTGAGACCGTTACGTCCAGGTCTCTAGAACCGCAGGCCTGCAGATATCGACAATACACAGAGAAGTTTATGACTTCCAGATGACGTCACCTGTGCCCCGCCATCAGTTCCTCTCTCTCCCGCCGATCTCTCTCCTCCAATGCATCCCTTTCCGCCCGCCCCAGGCCCCCCCGCATCCGCGCTGTGCACTCTGACGTCAGCCTGACGACATCGTCCTCGGTGACGTCAGCGCGCCGCGTCAGCACCTCCGCCCACCGCGCAGTGTAGCGCCGTGTCGTGTCAGTTACCCCCCGGTTCGAGAAGGAGATGACGTAAGACAGTTTTTTTCCCCAGCCAGACTCGTAAAGAAGGGGTGCGTCCAAGCGGTCTTCGCAGGAGTCTGCGTGTAGCCAGCACCGCTGAGCTTCGGAGTAGACTTCGGTCCAGACGTGATCGGTCCAGTCCAAAACCTGCGATTGGAGTTTACAAGTTTCACTTGGGGAGAGAAACAGAAATCGACAAGAGGCGATTCTTCAGGGGTCTGCTTGCGATCAGCGGCCACTGTGCAGAGGAGAGAAATCATTCCAGACGTGATCGGTCCAGTTCAAAACCTGCATTTGAAGAACATGACTTGAACTGAAAGCAAAAGGAAAAGAGTACAAAACGGCTTTTTGCAGGTCGCAATCAGAAGGTCTGCAGAGGAGTATATTTTGCTTTGGCGAGGTTGGTCAATCCCAAAACTAGCGTTCAAAACATGCGACCTACGTCCGGACGTGCTTACAGCAAAACTGGTTTTAAGATCCAGATATATGCAGGTTTCGCCCGAGTACTCTTCTGTGTTGCAAGCCGTCCAGATCTCGCTCCAGACCTGGTCGCTTATACGGAAACCAAGGAATCTAAAACAATTGCGTATGAAGCACATCAAGATGTTTTGCCCTTCTTCTTCTTTTGCCCTCGAGCTCCTCCCGAGATCCTTGCGGCATGTACGAGCCAAACATCGAGATCTTTGAAAACCTCGGTTCTGAGACTCACCCATCGTGCCTCGTACCCAAGAGCGCGGCAGCAGAGCGTAAACGCATTTGCCCATTCTCCACAGCGGCCACGTCGCGTTTCCAGAAGCTTCCCAGGATCGTTGTAGCGGGGAAAGCGGTTTCTTGCGCCACACACTTGACACGCATAACCTTCCACGCGGGACGCCCCAAACCGGAGGTCCTCCGGAGTAGGGGGTACCATACCCTGCAGCACGGTGCCCCCCCCGCAGATCTCGCATTCGGGGGCGTTGACCCACCTGATTAAGAAGAGGCGGAAATTGAAGAAATAAGGTGGTTGAGGATTTCAACTTTTACTATCTCTTACTAACTCTTACCAATTCCTACTAAGAGCTTGTGGGCATTCAACAAGTCGAAAATCCACAGCCATGAGCGAATACTTGTCTCAAGGGCGGCATTTCTCTCTCATGTTTCGCAGGACTTAGGGCTCCCTAGGCTTAAAGGTTCTTTCAAATCGTGAATTGTGGATGCACAAGTCAGCTTTGTCGGAATTCTCGGAACCGAGGGTTTCAAACCGAGGTCATCGTAGCTCGTCAAAATCCTGTCCGTTTGGCGACTTTCACTGCAAGAATAGGAGGTAAATCTGTCTAGCACACGGACTCCATGAAATTTCCAAATCTCACGCCAATGATCATGAGGTGAACAGCTTACCCTCACGGTCGAGATTGGTGGAGCAGCCCGGTCGAGCGATACGAAACCGTCGAATTTGGTTCACTTCTATCGGTCACCGGACATCGTGAAAGACGTGTGCTAACTAAAGCATCGACTGGGTACCAAGAGACACAGACTTTTTTGACATCAGGTCAAATTTGGAAGAACCAAACGAGTACCCCGTTATGGCAAGATCGAAACCTTCAGATTGATCAACCTCAGGCTTGTGGCACCTTACACAGCAATCTGAGCGGCTTGATCAATTCAGATATGCTTTAGATGTGGTGGAAGTGGCCAGAGTCGGTTAAACCACCACCGGGAGTATAGAATCGGGCAAACTTGAATGCTGACATGGCATTCCCGGCAAAAGGCCACCGGAATTCACAATTGTCGAAGGGCGCACGGTTCTGGAACTTGCAATAGTGAGCTAAGAGCACACATTTTCAGGACCGTTTCTTCAATGTTTTCGGCGAACCTTCTTTCAATCAAGCGATCTCCTTGCATCAAAACCGCCGCGAAAAACGATGAAAAAGAGCTCAATCTTGAGTGAGCAGTGGCATGTCTCCTGATAGAGTCATATGGACGCGCCATAGTCCGAATTCCAAGTTTCGGAGCTCAAGACCCGAAAGTGACGAAATGAAGGTCCCACACCTATCATACCCGGGGTGGTGCTTTAAGCATCCTCGCATACTTCCGTCGATACACATCAGAGGTACATCTAGTATCAAAAGCTCACTTGAACGTCGCCTTGAACCAGTGCAAAAGCTCCGCCAAGAGAGCGTCCCGCATCGCCTCAGAGCTGCTTTCTCCGGTCTGCACAGGAGGGCAAAAGTACGAGATAAATTGAGATCCAAAGGCTTCGATACAGGAACAAAGAAGAAGTTCTTTCGTCCAGATCGGGATGGAACAGGCCACAAAGCAAAGGAATGGCTCATAGTTTGTGCAAATTTCTCCTTCCACGACCAGATTTGATTGAAAGCCTGACTGCCAACGGAGTCATGGAAGAGAGACCCCACCTAGTTTAATTCCGAAATGAGATGATTTTGCCGAGGACGAGTTAAAGAGAAACCAGGCATGGCCGATAAGCTTCTCCCTGTCGATCAGCTGATGAGGCCTGTGTAACGGGGGTTTGATCAGCTTCGAAACCATCTTCGAGTTTGAGTGCTCCGCAGATGACGGTGCGTATGGCAAAAGCAAAGACAGATCATTGCAATTAGCTAGATGTGTGGCTTGCGCTCCTCACTCTGAGAAGTGCCACGGCCGCCTTCTCCTCCAAATCGTCCAATGGAATGAGCGCCCGCGCCTTGTCTTGCTTGCTGGGGTCCTCATACTACAGCGACCAAAAAGGTCACTAGATTAAAGTAGGAAAAACCGACCAATCAATTTTCCCTTAAAATGCTAAGTGGCATTTATTCAGCTTGATGTTTGCAGGTTGGATGTCGTGTGCATTCAGCTATCTTCGTTTTGACTTCGAAAAAAGTCTAAATACATGGGAAAAGGGCACTGATTGTGGTGGAAACACTGGAGCAGGTCCTTGATGTGAATCCAGCCTCGCACACAGTTCACTTGGTAAAACACACTACTGGCAACTTTTAAGCAAGCGACGAAGTGGCCCTGCAACTCCGTCTGTCCCCTATACCTTGGCATAAACCTGAGACTGTTTCCAGATCTATCGGGAGACCAGATGTAACATGATTCTTCCACTCTCCAGGTTATCTACATAGACCATCAATCTGGTTTTTCCAAAGTTTGGATCTTGAGAGGTCAATACCAACCTTTCATTCATAGCAAGGGTGGCACAAAAAGTTTTCAGGGCTGGGGCTCAAAAACATAGTTTGAAGGAACTTCATGCGCCGACATCAATGGAAATCGCGGTTGTGCAATATCCACCCACCTGCATCACTGTCTGGATGCCGCTCTCCAATTTGGCCCGAAAAGCCTCAACATTCCGTCCCCCACTTCTCTCCGCGCCTAGTTGCTGCGCCATGGCGCGTGCCAATTGTGCATCTTCCTCTTCTTGCAATTTTCTTGCCAGCTCTTCGTCCGAGTCCACGACAGGGGTAATAGTTGAATCAGTAGCCGTGGCCCCCAACTGGGAATCAGCATTGAGTCTCGTCATCGAGAACTCAGCCCCGTCTTTCACGGAATCGCAAAGATCCTCGGAAGTATCACTTTTGAAGAGTCCATGGAGCTGTTGCTCTTGCACCCCCACCCCAGTGAGAGAGAAGAGCTGCCAGGCCAGGATGTCTCGACCGTCCTCCGTGTCATACTCCAGCTCATGCTTCTCCCCCTCAAAGTTTAACACCAGATGCAGCTGCATTTGGTCAGCGCTCCTGTCCGCTTGCTTGACCAAGTCGTAGTAATGCTGTCCTTCTTGGAGGGTCTGGAGAAGCCTAAACAACGAAGGGCTTGATGCTTTTGAGACAGTGTGGCCGAACAGCCCCACCTTGGAGACACTTTTGACTGGTGGTATGATTGCGCAGGCCCCGGACAATCTCTGATTGGGTCTCTGCGCACCACAAACTGACTCTTCAAAGGATCAGGATAATTTCTTGTGAAATTCCGCTGCAGAGACGTGCCCGTTGAACAGCCGCCTACTATGGACACCAGTGCTGTCCAAGGATCCTAGAACTCCGTTGGCGATGCAGTCAGCGCTTTGAGAAGCTCTGGAGGCGCCATCTTCGAATTCGTGCATGGACTTTGACTGTGAAGCTTTCTTGAAAACAGCTGCGACATAATTTAGGGTTTGCGAAATCCAGATACAGCAAACCCCAAAATTAAAACCTGGCTAAGTTCTAACCAGATAACCGGTTATCCACCTTGACCCACGCTTCTAGCTTCCGCCAATCCGACGGTCCGTGAACAAATTTGAGTGTAACGATTGCAGCCGTCCGATAGAGCCGACAAGGGGGGAAGTTGAGATTGTGAAGTCAGCCGGCGGTTTGCCGACCAACTCCAAGCAACTCCCACGCAAGCCCACATCGGAGCATAGGGGCAGTGCTCGATAATTAGAGCTTGGCAAGCTAAGCCTGCTGCCTCATTAAAAGATTCTGATATGTAGCTCTATGTATCTCCTTTATGTTCACTAGTCTCATATACCTATCTTTTCCGTGTACAGTTGTTGTGAGAATTTCTCATACTTCATCATACTGCAATCTTCATCATATACAGTATACGCATACTGTACATACAATGAGTCTTTATTAGGTTACAATGTATGCCACGTATTGGCATTCCACCAGGATGCAGACTGCAGTAGGTATGCTTGAAATTTGTAGGCCAGCCAAGACTCAGGCTGGTACATTCTCAGGTTGAACCAGAATGTTGCATCAGCTCAGCAGCTCAGCTGAAACCGCTTGGATCTTTAGCTCATAGAGTCGGCCGCATTGCAGAGCCTGTTGACATCAAAGTAACAGACTTGATTCTTGAGACTGCCAACTGCTTGCAGGATGCCCGCAACGGTTCAAAGAGACTGGCTACGCGACTCTTGTGGCAACTTTGCATGTTCAAAGTAAAGAAGCTGTCTTTCAATCTGCATCCAGGTGCTAGAGCAAGTCCTTGTGACACATTCCGACCTCGTTTTTGACCTTCAGCTCAAAATAAGCTCTGCAGCACCTGCAAAATTATACTTACAAAGACAGAATCAGAGGCGAAGTTCTGGCGACGTTCTGCTCTCCCTTTTTCCACTGTCATCCACAGGCAAAGCTAGTTCCTGAACCCAAACCAGCACCATTAGCTCAAGGAAGTGACTTTGGATCCAGCTTGAACATGGCAGACCTAAGACGGACGTGCTCTGGTTGCTTCCTGCTGCTAGCTGTGCTACTGGTAGCGCAGTTTCAAACAGCAGACGCATGGGGCCTCAACCCCAATGTTACTTGGCAAGACTTTAACAGCACGGTCAACAACACCGACTACATGAAGCTCAACGAGAAGCCAGTGCTGATGCTCGTCCACAAGAGCTGGTAAGTTCCGCCTCAGGCATTGTATACAAGTTGGACGTTTCATTCTTTTGTACTAAAAGGCAGAAATTCTGGTTTCAAGAGGTTCTGTGTCTGTTGAGATAACTTATGTGATGTTATCAGGGCTCTCTGATATTGAGTATCGTCCTGCATATCTCCAATTGGCTCACCAAAGCTTCCCCATAGGACAAGTCATGTAGTGGTTGATTAAGAGTTGCATAGACATGTGGAAATCTCGAAAGGGGAGGTACAACAGTCAAAGGGGAGCAAGCAACTGTTGCTTAACTAGAGCGATTGCAGGATCTGATGCCATATCTGTCTCTGCAATCTGAGGTCACACTTCGACGTTTTTCAATCTTGCTCAGGAGCATTTGGCCCCTGTTATCAAGTAAGGGAGTTGCGTTGAGCTCCTCGGAGGTTGTTCCTCAAGCCTAGAGTTTTACCCAACTCACAGAAGTATGCGGTTTTGCCTGACCAGCTCTGGCACTCAGCTTAGCAAGTTGCGGGTCTTGTTCTCCGCAGGTGCAAAGCGTGCCGGTTCCTTGTCGACAACCTCAACGACACAAACGACCCCAACGTTACTGAATTTGTTACCCTCAGCCAGAACTTCACGATGGTGAGCTTCTCCTTGCGGACTTCTTGGTCAGCAGCAGTGCCAAGAGCTACCTTACATGGCTGCATAGTGTCTCGTCTCGCCTTCAAAGGAACACTTTGCTCCTAGCATCTCCTTGCAGATGTCTACAGCTTCTACTTGGGTGCTGAAATTGCAGTGGTTGTCTGAGCAGAAAGCGGAAAGATAGCTTTTTGATCCTTCCCATGTCCTCAAAGGCCAAACCGAGAGGACTGTCAGTGTTGTGTTGAGTACGTTAGTGCAGGTCGTGTGCCGATTTGGGATCTGAGAGACCATATTTGCTGCCCATCCGTCCTTGTGCGAGAGTAAGAGCATGATTGAGACAACAGACACATTCCACTTTGCCATCCAGCTTTTGCGGTACTCAACAGCACCGTTTAAGCTTGGAGTCGTTGAGAGGGGTGCTTTACACACCCGAGTGAAACAGGAAAAGGGGAAAACGTTTGGCGACATTCTGCCATCTTCCCATCGTAGTCGAATTCTCCAAAGATCTTACTCTGACGTTCGTCAGGTCGGCAATCATGGGGTCAAAGGGGCATCCAGACATAAAACTCACTCGAAAATCCTTAGCTACTCCATTACCTTCTACCAGTCTGTGATCACCTTATGAAATCGACTCCATCACAAACACCGACAGGTTGGCAGACGCCAGGAAGACTTCCAAAATCATCCGCACTACCGTAGCTCTAAGAAAATCCAAATGTCCACTCATCAGGTCGATATTACGGACGAGGACGAGCCTGAGGACGCCAAGTACGCTCCGGACGGCCGCTACAACCCACGCATCGTCTTCCTGGAGCCCAACGGCACCGTCAGAGCCGACCTCATGTGCACCTACAACTGCGACCCCAAGTACCTCTTCACGTACTCCTTTGCGGACCAGGTGAGTGTGCCGTTTCTCCGTCATGTGGGAAAAACGGCCGTCCGAATGATGTCATCCGTGTTTGGCACTTTCAATCTTGGTCGGGCGACTCTGCTCCGGAAAAGAAGCTGGGTTCGAACTTCGGAACCATGACCACTGGGATACCGTACAGTCGGACGGACATGGAAAGGTCAGCTTGAAAGCGGCTTCTTCATAGACGCCTGTGAGTCGATCTTCTTATGAAGGTATACTTTCGAGAGCCCCCGGCGCTTCAGACCCCTGGCGCTCCAGGGCTGTGGTCGACGATTGAGACACTTACAATAGGACTCACTAGTCAGATACAACCAGCAGTCCCTAGCTTTAGCACCCCGCAAGAATTAATGCTGACTGATCGTATCAAGCACAACTACAAAGCAAAGTTCAGCGCATATGGCCCAAAAACAATAGGCTGAAAAAAGTCCTTGATAGTCCATGAGGGACTCGGGTACGCTTCACCCAATTCAATGTCTGCGAGAGTTGTGCAGCACCTGATGGTGGGTGATTGATAGTTCACCTGTTGTAGCGTGAGCGGGTGTCCACTCGATTTCTGCAGGGGCCTCCGGGTCAAAGGCCCTAAGAAGCGCGACAATTACTCTTCAACAAGCTTTCTGGAGAGTATGTGCAATTGAAGATACGTAGCATTGCGGCGACAATCCTTTGAAATATGGTCAGTTGGAAAACCGAGTACCCGAGTGAATGGCCTGAACGGCTGACCTTAGACCGTGTTCCTTCTTTGCAGGTTGTCGAAAGCATGAGGAATGTCCTTGACGTGCTCGCTTCCGTTATAGCCAAGCGACCAGCGGAGGTCAGGAAGTACGTCAGAGCTTACAAAGCGAGTCACAACGGCGCAAGCCCTTACAACGGCACAAGCCCTTACAACAGCACACGCCCTTACAACGGCACACGCCTTTACAACGGCACAAGCCTTTGAAGAAATGGAGCCCGCTCATTTATCACTCGGTTCGATTCTTCAGCGGAGGAAACATTATAGTAGGATGAAGATGCTCGCTTGAGTGAGTTAACAGAACCGACACCAATCAGTGTGTACTGGCGTAGGGGAGTATTTACGGTAGGATAGGACTTGACACGACAAGCAGCTTTGTGACGGTCCGTGCAAACACTTTGTTTGCATAAGAAGGCAAGAAATTAGTCAATTTTAAATGTAGAGTTCATAAAGTGGACTGAGAGAATGAAAATGAAGTTAGCGGCACGAAGTCTACCTGTGAGCTCTAGCGTCGTCTTTACTTGCGAAGAATCCGAGCTTGTGACCTTAAGTTTGACTATGTATGTGCGCGCCTACGGGACGATCTAGGAATCTGGGACTCTTCAAGCAGGCACATTGCAAGGAAAGTCTGCACATCACTGTCATCAGTTTGCAAGGCGCTCCGACGAGAGATTTTAACATACCCTAAAATCGTAATATGACGCCACAACCTGCTTAGTCATGTCTGCCACTGGCATCTGTCAGAGCATAAAATATCTATGATCATTTTGAAGTACTACAAAACATATGACGGCTGAATCAGGTTTGCCAAGACATCTTTCAAGTTTGCATGAGCCCTCTAGATAATAAGCACCAACCTCACTGAGGGTTTGGAATGCACTCGACCGCAGAAACAGAGGGCACATGTCGAATCTAGTGGTTGGTTCAAGCTTGATAGAATAGAGTCACCTGAATTGGTCGAGAACTTTCATATTGGCTTCGTTCTCGCCTCAGTTTTTGCAAACTTCAGGTATACTTCCGCGCGCGGCGCGCGGTCACTGATCATGATCTTGACTTTCGTCGATACAAACGTCGGACGGACTCTGCCAATCATCGTCTATTGAGGCTGTTCTGTACATACTCAAGAGGGTTACGGGTTGGACACTATAGGACTATAGCTTAGGCGGCCACACTTGCGTACTCCTGCGTGAGTCAGGCTTTTCTGCAGCAATCTGCACCGCCAATTGACGAAAGGGGGGTCCTTATCTCATGGGGTGCTGACAAAAGTCTTTCAAGGTCGCCGCAGATCGAGACCGTCTGGGTACAGTCGGTGCTAGCTAGAGCACCGTCGTCTCGATTGTACCAGTGAAGTCTCTTCACTGCGGCATTTGAAGCAGCCCAGCCCCACAGGCGCTCAAATACAAGTGTCACTGATCATGGGCCGGCTGCTCTAGTTGCGGCGCCCAGCGTGCGCCGCCCAACAGGCTGAGGGCATAACATACAAACTTGCAAAATAATCAAAGTGATTTCGGAAGAAGCAGGTGCCTACTATCGCAAAAAGTATCGTTGCGCCTCTTGCCCTAGCGAGCCAGATTTCAAAATCGTCTTGGTGCAGCGTGATCCGCGGCCTAGGATTTCCGTGCCGGGCTCACCTGGCCATGCCGCGGCCGGCCCCGACCGCGCTATCATGCGCGGCCTTGTGTGTGGTGACGGTCACGTCACGGTCCGATCGACGCGTGCATGAGTCACGGACGGTGGAAGTTCAACTTCGGCAGCGCGACTCCATGTACTGATCCGCGCGGCCGCCTCGAGAAGCTGACGGTGGACATAAACGTTGACCGTAGATTAAAAAGACGCGCGCAATTCTAATGGTTGCAAGCACTGACCGGATCAAGCAACCGGTAAAATACGTAAACATCTGGATCCGAAGCACCGGTATGACGTTGATTGCAATTTGCGACCGCATCTCGGCCGCATCTTAGCCTTACAGGTAGTCAATATTGCAGGTTCGGTCAAACCTGGCCGCCTGACCTGACTCTGCTTTCAGCCATGCATCGCAGAACTTGGCCGAAAGTGCAGAACCTGGGCCGTTCGATGAATTTTGTGCTAGCATCCGAGGGTTCAAGTTTTGCGCATCGGGCAAAGTCCTGCGATCGGCTCAAATCGGACTCGGGTCAAGCGGCCAGGTTTTACCGAACGTGCAATACCTAGTACGCGTACGGTACAAATGATCAAATTCTAATATGTATTAGGTACTTTCAGTTGGCCGTCTGCAGCTAGCTGAGCTAGCCACAACGTCACGACATTGGCGGCAGTACACCGTCGGGTACAGCGGCCACTAAGAGCCTACCTAAGTACATAGACGTAGGTCTACCTATATAGCCTATCATAACCCGCCTTGACATGACTGACGGTTGACCTCGTAATAGTGCGACGGTCAAGTCATCATGTCGCCGGGACGCTCAGGTAGAAATTGTTGACCGGTGCAGAATCTGACTCTCGCACTCTCGCAAAGCTTGCGCGAGTCACTGAGACCGTTGTTTTCAGATTGTTATTCACGTGAACCGGGGCGAGAAACATGGATGGTCAGGCCGGCATGTGCAGTTCATGGACTCACTGACGACACATAAACCCGGTCAGCGGCTGTCAGATCAGTCAAGCTGTGTATATGACACTTACATGCTTTGGCTGCTTCTGATCATTGACACTTCGCATTAGCCCGAAGTCTTTTGAGAACTGGTTGGTGTAATCCAGCTGAATGCTGGAGCCTGCGCACGTGATGACCTCATTACGACGTCAACACGGCTCCTGCAGATTTCAAAGGTTTCAAAAGGCTCTCACACACTTTGCCAGACAGACCCAATCAGGCTGAAGAAGTATCTCCAGAAAGTCACCAAATATGCGCGTCCGTATGCTAGCTGAAGTCATTCATAAGCAATGTCGGAGCTTTCGAAGTTCGCCCTATGCGTGTGTCAGTGTTCGCACGGGGGGTCTGATAGGTTCTGATGAATCCAATGATAGGCTCAGACCGGTCGCGGAAAGGTGGATCTCGCGTGAGTTTGACTTGCGAACTACAGAGCAGGACACCGACTAAGATTTGCCGGATCTGCAATTGCCAGCAAGCAAAGCATACCTGCAGAAAGCACAAGAATCCAGCGAGCAAGACAAGCAGGGAGTCGCGCTTTTGGGCAGGGTAAGAGTATCGTTTTCAGGGCGTCACGACTCGCTGCTCACAGGTCCTTTCTCGAATGGTAATACCAAAGGGGGTATCAGCACAACGATTCCAAGGTATCCAGGCGGAGAGAGGCACTCGGAGCAAGGCAGAAAGGGGAGCAGAAAGCGAGATTCTGATCAAGATCCAAGGAACTTTCTCTACCAAGGGTAGAGAAGATGGAGAAGATCTGGGGGGCAAAGCGCCCCTGCCGCCTCCTGGCGTTGGCCGCAGTCTTTGCGTTGCTGACAGGTAAGGGAAGGGTCGTTGCAATTTGGTTCATGCGCGCGTTGATGGAGAAGGGGCTTCAACGAACTTTACAAAACACAATGCTGATTGTGTGTGAGATCAAGGAGATCTGGAGGTGTGGTAATGAAGTAAGAGGGAAGGTTGTGAGTCTGCTTCGTGGGTGCACTTGCGAATTGGTGCAGGGTCATGTTCTGAAGCCCAGGTTGCATAGGCAAGCATAGGTCAAGTTAGCTTTCAGATCTCACAAACTTCAGGTGGCTTGGGTAAAGGAAAAGCAGCAGTCAGCCCTCTGCTGTCACTCATTCCTACGGAACTCTTACCAACTCTTACCAAAGCGTCTGAGGCAGTCCCTCTGGATGGTTCATCCACTTTACCATAATGGTCCTTTGTTGCCTGCGCAAGGCTTTCTCAGATATAGGGGGACAAAAAATATTTTCCAGCATTACGGAGCCTGGTGTGAAAGGTCTGTTCGGTTGAGTTAGCAGAGGAGGTACTAGTAGACAAACTCTCTTTGAGACGAGAGTAGAGCAATAGGTACTCAGGGCCCTTTCTCTTCGAGCAAGATAGAAACTCTTTGAGGACTTCAAAGAAGACGGAAATGACTGCGTTGCTCAAAGAGCAAAAGCTGTCGGAGGGAAATTGTCGTACAAGGCTATCAATCCTTCGTCTACATTTTATTCTCGTTGCAGGAAGCGTGTGCAAGTCTTACAGGATAGTCTGTTGGAGTCGGCCTGAAAAGCTACCTTTAGGGATTCTGGGGACGTAAAAGCCATCTATCGCCACCCTCAGCTCACAAGCCAACAGTTGCTGGTTGTAGCACCCCAACAGAGCCTGTTCAATGCACCGCTGAACTCATTTTAGAAAGAGAGGCAATCAATCTGCTGATGAACGTAGGAGCTACGGAGCGAACTTAGGACAAAAACAAGCAGGCCACAGCTGGTTGGTATAGGCACTAACTTTCATGCTTTTCCGGTACTACCTCCAGACACCGCAACTATCTCCTCCAATCTTTGATGCCGCCTCCAAACGATGGGTCCAGAAAGAATCCAGGCGTTTCAAGATATTACCCCCAATCAGAGTCGTTACGATAACAAAGCTTGACCTGGATTTCAAAATCCCCAAACCTCTGATCTTCCTTCCCGCAGTCGCCGCATCTGCGGCCGACAACGCGGAGCCGCAGTTCCACCCGTCCGGGTTCCGGTACATGGACTCGGAATGGGGCAACGAGGACCCCCTGTTCATGGAGGAAAACTTCGTGCAGCACATGCGCGCGCTCACTTCCATCGACGACAACACGGACGACTGCAACTTCTACGGCAGCAACTTCTACGGGCACTGCCCCGTAAGTCGGAGCTCGATCTAGTTACAAGTCGTTTGAATGTTTTTGGTTTGCTTGCGCACTTGGTGCACTGGCTCACAAGCGATCATAGCGTCTTCGTCAGCAGATTGTACGGGGCACTGCCTGTCAACCGAGCTGGCCAGTGTTTCTGCGACTTTACATTTCGTGTCCTTCGTCCCTCCTCCCACAAGTCCTCGCCGAATGTCCATGTGTCTCCCACAGGTCGGTCAGTTCCAGAAGACAGGTAATTGCTCACGGGCCCCTCGTTTACGTGGCTCGCTTCGTCTTCCCCGAACCTTTTCAGAACTCACTGCCAAATGCGCAGAAGGCGTTTTCGATTCAAAGCCAAGATATGTGGTCACAATACGTCAACGGTGAATGGTATCTACGCGGTGGACGGAAAACTCTGCTTAAAGTAGATTGCTGAACGCCGCTGTTTGGACTTGTGCAGTCTCCCTCCCCGTCGCCTTCAGCTACGCCCGCCCCTTCCTCTTCGCCCCAACCTTCTGGAACGCCGGAACCATCTGCGTCGCCGGAACCTGGGTCGCCGGAAGCTTCTGCGTCGCCCCAACCTTCTGAATCGCCTGGTAAATCTTCCAACTAGCATTTTCCATCACAGCCCTTCCCGAAGTAACAGAAGAACATCCCTGTTTAAGTTCAAGAGCATTGCTACAAGAGTTCACTGACTAACGCTTGCGGGGTTGCAAAGCGGGTTTATACGCAACTTGCCCGTGCTGCTTTCCTTTCAGCATCTGCACTGGCGTTGCCTTCAGGGCAAACTTCTCACAGTCCTTACAATCCGAGTTGCCCCGCGCTTCGGTTGATACGTTGCTGAGCGGTCGACCCAACCCTTGCCAACGGTTAAATCCATTCCTTATCCGCGACCAATCTTCAGTTCCTCTCCCGAGCCCTTCCGTCGGCCAGCGCGCTGCTCCGACCCCCACCCCAACCCCCCGAGCAGAGGTCACGGAACAACCGTCCGCTTACGAAACGCTTAATCTGTTCGCCCAAGTTTCTAAGACGTTCTGTTCACAAACGTCCCACCTCTTTCAAGCGCCTCTCCCGAGCCCTTCCCCTTCGGCACGCCCTGCTCCGACTCCCGGGAAAAACCGACCGATAAATTTCTCGCTCTCACGCTTGATAACGTGCTGATTAAACCCTTCTCGACAGGTCAATACCTCCCTTCCCAACCGCTCGTGATTCTGATTTTGCCGACCTCTTTTGTGCGCGCATCTCCCGAGCCCTTCAACCGTCGGCCAGCGCTGCTCTTACACTCGCTCCAGCCGGGAAAAATCCTTCGGTCAACTGCTCAATCAAGCCTTCCCAACCTTGTCTTGATTATCATTGTCCGAACTTTCAGCACCTCTCTTGAGCCTTTCCCCGTCGCCCAGCGCTGCTCCAACTCCCACCTCCTCCCCCACAAGGAATCCCCTGGTCAGTTCTTGCACGATTATCGACGTAATCCCTCCTAACCGGTGCTGATTCTGATTCCCCGACCTCTTTCCAGCGCCTCTCCCGAGCCCTTCTCCGTCGGACAGCGCTGCTCCGACTGGGAACCCCACCCCCACCCCGACCTCGACCGTCCCCACGACTCCCACCAAAACCCCCAGCCCCGCAATCGATTTCGTAGCAAAGGCGATGGACGGATATATGCAGGTAAGTATTTTTTGAAAACCTCGAGGCCGCGGTTTCTTCGCATCAGATTGCCTGCTTGAACACGAAGTAGGGAAAGTTTGCGGAGCTTGATAGCTTCTTTCCTTGTTGGGAGTTTGGCAACCTCTCTGATATGCACACGTGGTAGTGACACGTGGGTTGATGGGAAAAGTTGAGGGCCGGACAAGGTAGACGGGTAAGAGACCCAGAGCACCGCAGACACCGTAATTTGATCGAAGTGCTGAAGAATTTTGACCAGAGGGTTTTTTCAGAGAGAATGGAAGTGTGAGATTCAAAAGCATGTTGGAAAAGAATCAAACTGCTCGCAGGTTAAATCGAGCAAGGGAACTTCGACACAGTCAGTCTTCCATCGGGTTCCGGGTTCCTTATAGCATCCGAGATCGAGGATGCACGCGATTCCACAAGCGCCAAGCTGAACGAAGGCAATCGACAGAAAAATCCGAAGCTTACTTGGTCCATGTCGCTCCATGTCGCTGACGTCACGTGACGTGGCGCGCGCGCAGAACTGCACGGTGTTCCTGGACGTCAACGATGACGGCATCCACAACGCGGGCGAACCGATCGGTGTCACCGACCAGTACGGGGTCTTTAAGGCGCCTAACGTGGCGGCCCCAGCGTGGCTCATCTTCGTTGGCGGTACGTACCTCCGACCCGCTTTTTCCCCGCCCATTCGTGCGACGCTCTCTTTTGCTTCCTCTCATGGTGCTGATTGTTTCTCTCATGGCGCCGATTGTTCCTTTCATGGCGCTAAGCGCTGATACCGTTCACCAAAGGTGATCAGCCGCCTTTCCACATCGTCTTTTCATTCCAGCCCATTATTGTCTTCCCTTTTCAATCAATTCCCGGTTTTCTTCCAGCAATACTCAAGACTACCTTGGTATGTTGGGCGAGACGACTAAATCGATACTCAGAAATTCGTTTCTTCGTTGGCTCCTCCTCTGAATGCCTCCGCAGTTTCTGCCCAACTCTCAAACCTCACATGATCGGATTGCACAGTTTCCAAATCTAACCGCAAACCTGGACGACAGTTCGCCCTCCTCCGACTAACAGATATTGTTGCAATTCCGTTAAGACCTGGTAACGGAGAATATTCAAGCCTCTCACATTCAACGAACCGGGCGTGCGTCGACTTTTCCACCTGCCTCTCCACCGTCACCACATTCGACCGCAGTTCCTGTAACCGTCTTTTGACTAGATAGCGCCCGCGACCGTGATTCTGACCCGTACTTTAACTCGCAGCCCGGCTGCGTCGACTCCTTTACCGGCCTCCCCGCGTTTCCCACATGGTGGCCACACCCGGTTAGACCTTGGTTTACGCTCTAACCCTCCTTCAACAGATTCTTTTGCTCACTCTCGTCTTTCTTACCCCGTAATTTAACCCGCGCAGCTGGCGAACCCTGCTGCATCGACTCTTTCACGGGCCTCCCCGCCGTCTCCCACACGGAAACCGCGCCCGGTTCGACCGTGGTTAACCAGCTAACCCTCTCTTCGACGAGATCTCCTCGCCCACAACTGCACTTCTTAACCCGTTCTCTAACCCGCGCAGCTGGCGAACCCGGCTGCATCGACTCCTTCACGGGCCTCCCTGCCGTCTCCCGCATGGAAGCCGCGCCCGGTTCGACCGTGGTTAACCCCTTAACCACGGTGGTCGCCGTTCTGATGGCGGCCGGGGCGTCCCAGTCGCTCGCGGAGGCACGGCTCGCGCAGTCTTTGGGCCTCCCCCCGGGGATCCCCCTGGGCACTTTTGACCCGATCTCTGCGACCGCGCTCGGGACCACGGGCGGCAGCCAGGTACGAGATTGCGGGACCTGGGTTTGCGGCGGGTTTGCGGCGCTCCGGCGCGCAGAACGTCGCTATGGAAAGACATTCGACCAGCATCGTGCTGCGATTGATGCTTGATCCTTTTAATGGGCCGGAGATCAGTTTTCGCGCGGGGTTGAAGCTTGGATGAGAAAGTGCATCTTACTATTGCATCATGAAACCAACCTCGCCACAACCGTCGCGACTTTGGCCGATTCGTGCACAAATTACCGATCGTGCAACACTCAAATTCTCTTCTCATTTTGTCTCACCACGAACGAATGCAACGTCCAGTTGTCGTTCTCTCTTCCCCAAGTGGACCCCAACTCGAATCTCACGCTCAACCCGATCCTAACCCTGTGTTTGCAGTTCATGTCCGCCCTAACCCAGCTCCAGACCGTCATCGCCGGCGGCATCCAGCTCCTGTCCGGCGCGTCGGGCGCGTCGCAGCAGGACTGCGCGCTCGCGATGGTGAGTGCGCGCGCACAATTTCTCATCCGCAGCTTCCGAACTGATCTGAAAGCTTGGGTAGACAGCTGCTTGGCTTTAACCCCTCTTTTGCGAAGCCTGTGAGACCTTTTCAAAGAGTGGAAATGCTCTTCTCTTCCGATACTTTTGTAGCACGAAGGACGAGCGTTACGTCAATTCCCTCTGCCTGTGGTCAGGACTTGCGTCAAACAATCCCTATGAACGTTTTTTCACAACTCGTGGAGAGCGATTCTTTTCAAACCTTATCTCACGCTCTGCAGTCTGGTCAAACATTGAGCAGATGAAGAGGAATGATGAGGGATCCTCTTTATCAAGAAAGCATTAACCGCCCCTTAACCCGCTGCTTTTCTCTGCAGTACGCCGCGATCGTGGGCATGGTTAACAACAGCACCGGGCAAGCCGGAACTACCCTCGACCTAACCAACCCCGCCCAGCTCCAAGCCGTGCTTGCCACGTCAGCAGTCGCGCTGAACAACGTCACCGGCGGGACAGTGACGTTATCCACCGCGGTCCTGTCGGCTGCGGCCAGCGGCATGTCCAGTGTGAATACGCTCATCAGCAGCGCGGCCGCGTCGGGCGCCAACAGCACGGACATCCTGGTCCAGGTGAGCCGGCCGGAAGCGGGACGAGACCGGAAAGGGAACGCTCCGGCTAGGGCCGGATTTGCTCGAAGTTCAGGTCGCTGAGCTCTTAGTCGATTAAACTCGAGTCTCCTCGTAATCTGCGACATGCGGGTTGCAACGTTGCGCACTTCCCGAAGATAGGGACGAAACAGACAACAGTCGTACATGCATTCCTCGTTGCGCTAGCATTTTGAGCCTTACAACGGACCTGGTATTTCCTACCTAAAGCGCGCCCTAACCCCCAAACCTTTCTGCGCGCGCGCAGCTCGCGCGCCTTGGGCTGGTGTCCCAGGGCGCCATGGCCTCCTCCCTGAACGACCTGGCCACCGGTCGCGTCACGCCCGCGCAATTCGAGGCGACCAACACGGGCTCCGCGCTCACCGACGCGGTCGCGGCCGCGCGCGCGCCGGGCGAAACCCTGATCAGCGACTTCGTCCAGAAGGAGATCACCGGGAATGCGCCCGCGCCCGCGCCCGCGACGCCGACGCCGACGACCGCGCCCGCGCCGCGGTCGGAGAGCGCGGGGGTCGGGAGCGCGGCGATCATTATAATCGTCGTTGTGTGCTCAATCGTGTTCGTGTAAGTAGAGCTTTCTTGCTGTTTCTCGCCTTTCTAGTTGGATAGAACGAGCCTCTTTCCTCGCAAACGATTACTTGACAGACGCAAGGAAATGCGCTTTTGCTTTCCCGCGGTCCTTTTCGTGTGAGAGATGGTCTCTCTGCTCTTTTGCGCCTCTTCGAGGTAATTACAATACAAGCCTCCGTCTTTGCACACGATTGTCTAGCTTTCTCCCCCCTTCCTAGTTGGATAAAACAGGAGATTCCGTTCCACAGACTTCAATATTGCTCTTCCTCGCCCTTCTAGTTTTGATCACTACGATTCGCCTTTGTCTCGAACGACTACATATGAAGACGGCAGCGGATACGCTTCTGCACTAATGTTTGTATCACTAGGATCTGAGCCTTCCGTTTCCGCTCCGCAGATCCCTTCTCGGCGGAGGATTCTGGTACATGCGCATGCGCAGCGGAGCCGCGATCCAGCCCGATGGCGCGCCCCTGGCAGGAGGTAAGCCTGACGTCAGACTGACGTCGACAAGAATGGTATTACTTTGCTTTGGTTCGAGCAGGTCTTTACTCGGGTTATCGGATCACTGTTTTGTGCGTACGTCTCGGCACCGTACAACCGGTGTCGAAATGAAACCTGGCTGTGGGAGACATAACAATTATTGGCTGCTTGTGGGTCGGATGATCAGAAGGGTTTTGACGTCCTCAAGGCTGCACTTCTTTGTAATGTGGCAACTTGTACACCTGGAAGACGAACGAAAGTGCTCATATAAATCCCATCGCCTTATAAAGAAATCACGTAACTAGCCGTCCTCTTCAACAAGCCGCCGTTGAAGTCCAGTACCGGAAGAACGAGCGAACATGCCTCTGATGATGTTCAAATGGGTTAATCCCAGACGTTTAGTAACTAATCATGACTAATGTCTCCATTTTCTTTGAACAGGCCCCTACAACGCCATGTCGACCCCGGTAGAACCGATCCGGGGGGGTCAGGCCGGCGCGAGTGCGTGGGACCCAGCGACCGGGGGACAGCTGCGGCAACGACCGGGGCTCCAGTAAACGGACGCCACGTGTCGGGTTCTAAACGGTTTAGGGTTTCGAAGAGCCTGTGATCTAGGAGGCCCATTCGGATCGCATCCGACCCATTCATCGAGACAGTCTAATTGCTTTCGCACGCGGATACGATAGGGCTAATGGTAGAGAGTTTAGGTAGGTAACTAAAGCGGGTTTAGATGTATAGCGGCCCCGCGAGGGCATAGGCTATGGCGAGGGCAGCAAGGCTTTCATCCGATTCGCCGCATCCGAAGCTGACGTCAAAAGCAGATAGGAGGCGTAGTGTGCTAGTAACGGCAATCACAAACGGACTTCCTGCAGAAATAAAGAACGGAAACTCCTTCGGCTCGTGTATCTGCGGGGTTCAATTCGTAGTACTATATAGGTATGATGGATGTGGGTTAGCGCTAAATTATATTCTCAAGGCCCGGAGAGACCTTTCAAGATGCAGTACTAAATACGAGAAGAGTGAGTTCAAAGTACATCTGTGGGCTCTTCGGAGGATTATGGAGCCGTCGAAGCACTAAGTCTGACGCCCAGCAGATGTGTTCTCAAAGGTTCGAAGCCTCTTGTCTTGATTTGCTCAGTCACGGTTTTTAAAAAAGGTTGATGGCATTCATATCGCAACATATTGAACGTTACGGAAGCCCAGTACTCAACGGGATTCTGCTCACTTGGGTCACGTGTGGCCGCGACTCAAGTATTTCACCTTCTTAGTTCGACGATCATTCGAACACGTCAGGGGACCCGAAACACTAACTGCATTCTTTGTCCGCTCGGCATCCGCGAACTAAAGTCCTACACTTTATTGGTTGAACGGCCATCATTTCATGCATGGATACCAATCCCCGATGCGCTATCAGCATGGCATGCTCAGCTTTACGGCCCCAAAGGGGCGCCGCCGCGTCGGGGGTTGGGCCTCAGGCTCCAAAAGGGGTTTGTGAGCGGATAATTTCAAGCCTATTCGGACAGCGGAAACTTATGAAGTTCGAGACCAAGCATGTACAGATGAAGACAACCGATTGAATCTAGCTTTTACCTTTACTCGTCCGTGTTGAGGTACGTCACAGCGTAATCAATCACCGCGTCACGTGGCAGCGCCGCAGTCGCGAGCGCGCACAATCTGAGAGCTAGCCTGGTAGCTGCTGATCATAGACTGGTGACGCTACGTGGTAGTATTGCGGCCGTTCAAGGAGATTAAGCAAAACAGGATTTCCAAGCCCGCTGCAAGAACGTCGCGGCCAAAATCGTGGATTCAGATCTGCGCCGCTCTACGGTCCGATTGAGAGGCGGTGGCTTCAGCTACATGATCTTACTGATGAAGGGCTTTTATACTGCACGTTTTCGCATCGAACACGGGTTAAAATCTCAAAAGTTGCATGGCGCTTCTGCAACCGCATGCATCGCGACGTCGTTCGCTTCTTATTGAATTCGCTTATGAATCCAACGGAGCTACCTGGTGATCTTACAGTTTACAAGAGTTGAAGACCTGAAACTCTGATTTAAAGAACCTGCTTGAAAAGACGAGCTAGCTACTGTTAATCACACTTTTGACCGACCGACGATCGTTCTCTGAGCGAGCTTGACCTTCTTGCTTGGCGCAAGCACGAGAGGTGCAACTCTGCGGCCACTCTCTTGGTAACAGCTTCCAGTTTCTCGGCGACCTTCACTCTCGATAGCATGAGCGGCAGCTAACTTTTCTGGCATATCTAACGGCCACTCGAGCATTCCTCTTACACAAACAACTCGATATTTACCACCCGATGAGCGGCCTAAAGCGCCATTCAAAGGGTCTCCTTTGCAGTCCGGTGTCCAACGAACATTTGTCCTTTTAGACGCTGCCAACTCAGATCGACTGGCGTCACTAGGCTTCACTGAACATCAGCCACTGCAGCCCACTGCAGCTACTAGATGCACGGACGTCCGGGTTCGGAGGCTCTTCCTTCAGCCGTCGAGACCGTTTTCCCGCACTCTAGTTATCAACAACGTCATAAGGCATGCGTTGCGCGCGCTCTTCAAAATCAACTGCCGCGCTACTAGCCGGTGCAGACGAGGGACACTCCTTTGGAAGTGTGCTTCATCTGGCGACACTCCACGACCGAAGTTGAGAGCTTCTTGCGGCGAGTTTGGGTTGGCAGCGAAGCGATTCCCAATGCTCTCGGCAGTGACGTCGTGGCTTCGAGGCGCGGCTGCGAAGGAACAGTAGCTGTGCGTCAGCAGATTTAGTTCCGGCCTGACTTCGAAAACGGAGTACTAGCTGTATTAGCTACGCAGTCGTCTGAAGCACATGCAATGACAATATAAGTGCGCGCTACTTAGCAAGGGAGAAAGGCACAGCCTCGTCGATAAGTATCGTCCAAAGCTTTTGAAGCACGGACTCATTCAACGGCCAACCAGAAAATGAATCCAGGTAATACGGAGGAAGGGGCGTAAAAGGCCTCACCAAAATCCACGAAGCGCAGAGTTACCGCGATTCAAAGGATCCATCTAATGACGAAGATGGAGGCGGACCATTCAAGTGGTTCTCGCAATGAACCCGAGGGAGTCCACTGGTCCACTCCAGCAACGAAAGCAACTCTTGACTACTTTCTACTTGGCATAACTCTGAAGCGAGGACTTGCATGGTTCAACCGAAGTTTTTACGGCGAGGACCCAGGTCCACCTCAATCCAAAAAGAACCTTTTAGAACGATTAATGGGGAAAGAAGATTGACGTGTTCCACGCCGTCTTATACTACCGACCATGTCGAATTGGGTGTAGCTGCAGTCGGGCGACGTCAGGCTGGAGGTCTCGTAGTCTTCCTCCGTCCCCTCCACGTACTCGCGGTGGTTGAAGCCATCGAGCGTGCCCATCGCGAGGCGCTCTTGCACCGCATCGGGAGCGTACATCTGACCCAACACGTGGCAAACACATGATGCAACCTCTTCGGTCTATGAAACCAGCTAGCAGTGACACGAGCCTGCACACTGAACAGCCCACATCCCGCCAGGATACCAAGACCCAACTAGATGCCCAAACCAATTGACGGATTGTTGTTGACCACGCCGGATCCGTAAAAGGCAGCTCATCTAATGAGGATCTAATGGACCTTGACTTTACAGCGGTAGGTAAATCAAATCCAAAGCACCATACTTGTTACCTGAATGGTTTCTAACCAGGTACATTTTTCAAAATAATTCTTTAAAGAAGACAAATCAGACGAGTTGGGTAGTCTGGGCTTGTCCTACCCATGCTGCACCGTGCCTGTGCACCGCTTCCCCCGGTGCCGGAGTACACATCTTCGTCTTGGTCAATGACTTTGATATATGTATTCAGGGAGCACTCCAAGCTTCTGATCACACGGCAACTTAAATTAGGAAGGAAATTAGGAAGGGAGTTCCAGGTATTGCAAGAGGAGTCCTTCTGACAAACTTCGCAGCATTCTTCTGGTGTGGCCCCCTGAAGGACAGCTGTGACATCAGTGCCAAGGTTGAAAGTAACCGGATCGACAAAATAGGACCTCCGAGTTCCTGAGGCGGTGCTGCAGTCCGTTGGCGCGGGGCTGGGGCCACAAAGGGGTCAAAATAAGTGGCTGATTCGCACATGCTTCCAGCAGCATCTGAGCCGTGATTGGCAGTGCAAACAGCAGCTGAGCAACAAGGGGCCCGAACAGCGCCAGAATGCTGAAAGTGCTTTCCGGGGATTCAAGGCTCTTGCGCGGCTGCAGAGCGCGCCTGGAAGCCATCTCACCACGAGGCGCGTGATGTGAAATCAGTTCTGCCCTGGGCCACGTTGACACCTAACGATGTGTGCTTCTCAGAAGAAAGAGTCATAGATGAGGAAAAGGTAGACCCCCTTGGACCGATTTACCTATATTTCAAGCTGGTTACAAACGGTTCGCCCCCGGATCCCGTCCTCCCCGCCCGCATCATGTACTACTAGCGTTGAAACTCTTCAGATATCGCCGATGAACGCAGAGTCATCTGTTTTGCAGGTCCTCCTTCCTATGCCCGTAGCCGTACTCAATTCAGATTAGGCCCTCTGCACATTGGCGCCGGCGGCCTCCTAAACGCGCCTGAATCTGGATGTATGACCTATAAGTACCGTCTAGATACAGATGTACGTCGTATACAGCTTCAAAATCTAGCTCGACCCTTCAACCCTTAATCCGAAGGAGTCGAAGCGGGGTCGAAGCATGAATCTTGCACTAGCTAGTTACAACAGAGTCGGTTTCGGTAACTTGAAGGATTGTCCTGCATTGTCCGTGAAATGTGCACATTGGCGGCCATGCCGCTTCGAGTTCTCGCTGGCCACTTGGCACTGGCGCAAGTAGGACAAAGTACACTATTATTTTAGTGTCTCCGGAAATTCTTCTGTGTTAACACCCTCCCGTGCCGCGACCATTTTAATGAACAGATGATAGATCTATGAAGCTGGCCGGTAGGTACCACACCTGCACAGCGGTCATCCAGGCACTTGTTATCGCCGGGTAGCTGGCTGCTGGACGACAGCCAAACCCAGTGTCAATCAGGTTTGAATCTTTTTAAGCTACCTAATACGGTTATCCAGTGACTGTGACTGTAACTTTGATTTTATTATTGACACTGTGACTGTGGTTGAGACTGTGACTGTGACTGAAGCTGAGACAGAGCACTACCTTAAGAGTGTTCGTAAACAGTGGCGTTTTTAACCTGCCGGAAACCAATTGTGACTCATAGGTACTGTGACTCTTGACACTGGACACTGCCTAGGTACCTAGGCTGTGACTGTAACTGCGACTGTGACTGAAAGGGCAGTGACTGTGCAATGTGCAGTGTCACCGGGAAAACTGAGAGTTCCCCGGGAAGTAGCTCGGTACCATGCCGGTACCCGGTCAAAGAGGACCGGAGTCCCGCATCCAAGCAAACAGATCACTCTGACACATGTCAGAGCATTAACCAATGCCTGCACAGATTGACGCCCTGTGCGAGTATTTACTCTGACAGATCGACCGGAGACACTAATATAATCGTGTAAGATTGTCCCTTTTGCGGCACTGGCACTGTGGCAGTCACTGTGGCAGTGCACACGTTGCGGATAGGTACCTATGTCTTCATCCTGTGATTGGCAGAGCTCATGCAAGCTGGTGGCACTGTGGTGGGTACGGAAAAAGACTACGGTACCCGGTATTTCAAAAGACACGGGTGGGATCGACCGGAGCGCCTGGGACTCGGAGACTCGTCGGTGGACTCGGGGACCGCAAGTACTGCTAGCTCCGGAAAAGGGGGGAGCCACCAAGTGTGGGCCCGGGGGGCTTTGGGCCTCTGACTGGCGCCCAGCCCCGCCCGGCCAAACTGCAGACCTGGAAACAGGGGCAGAAGTTAGAACACCGCAGAAGGGCCGGCCACAGCCAAGCTAGTCCGGTCGCGCCGGCCTTTATTAGTTTGGCCGCCGGGGGGGGACTCGGGAGGTGTAGGAAAGGATATAGGGTTGTGATTGATCCGAAGCTGAACGGACGCGAGCAAGTAACTACCGTAGCTACGATGACTCAACAGCACGCGGTCAGGTTAGGGTGAGTTCAATTTCAAGGTGACCCGGCCCCGGCTACCGGTATATCATGTTCTGTTCAGAGGATGGGGGCTGGGGGTTTGCCACGTACAGAGTGGGCAGCGGGAGGGAGGGGGGGGGGTAGAGCTTCGAGCCGCAGGCTTTAATTTGGAATATTGTACAATAATTTGCTGTAAAAAGGATATTTTTACGGCCAAACTACGGCGAATGCAATTAATAAATACTATAACATAGCGGGAGGGGGGGGGCTCCGCCTATCTTTGAGCTAGAGGCAGGCCGGGAGGGGGGGGAGGGCTTGGCCGTTTGGGTCCCGAGCTAGGGGCTCGATCGAGAATCGACTGGACTGAACATAGGGGGTTGGCTTCAAAAGGACCTTTAGGCTTTAACCCTTACAAGTTACATGGATGATGGGGCGTTAGCTTGCCGCTACGGACAGAGTCCGACAGACTCCCCGGCCGAGTCCCAAAAATGCGGGCCCATGATGCAATCATTGATGATCAAATCTTTCCCAAAACAAAGAAAACAAGACAGACCTGAGACCATGATGCAATCCAGGCACTCATGTTTAACTTTTGGTCACTGATCATGTGTGACTCCGAACGCCACCTTCAGGAGACGGAGAGACGAGAAAACTCCTCGAGACGGGCTAGACTTCAGCGTCCCGTCGTACAAGAATAGGTACTTCGTGCAGCCTGCAGGCCCCTGGCTGCCTGCAGGCCTTTCAAGTTGCCAGATCACCAAAAACCGTATCGTTGGAACCAATTGATGCAGGGCTGCCAAGCCTACCGTCCACAGACCACAAACGTCAAAGCCCCTACAAAACAATATTTTCAATTCAGATATTTCAGGCACTGCACACAAGAGGAACAAGAGGCCGCAACACTAGCAACAAGGATGTAGACGTATTGGTGCAATGGAAGGGAAGCTAGCTTGCTAGCTAAAGTCTTGCCTCCTTGAATCAGGAAGCTCGGCCGCTATGACACACTCAGGATTTGCGCTCCTTCCCACCATCCCTGAAGGATTTTGACAAGGAGTTGCGAACATCTTTACATGCGCCGCGCCCTCAATATAAATGTCATGGCTTCCAGGAGCGCTTTGCCCCGCAGTCCCAGACCCCAGCAGCTCATCGGCTGCGCCAGCCTTGTGCTTATAATCGCGGTGCTGCTGATTGCTCTACCTGTTTCAGCTCAGATGCAGTTGGACGCATGTGCGAATCAGCCAGATATCAATGCACCCCTTTGTGGTCCCAGCCCCGCGCTAACAGACTGCAGCACCGCCTCAACGACCGCGTCCGGGGCCATCTTGCTTGGTGCTATTGATCCCTTAATCGTCTTCGGCTCTCTAGTCTCCCAGGGGGGCACGCCGGCGGAGTGCTGCAATAATTGTCAGGCGGACCCCGCTTGCGATGCTTGGAACTACCAAGTCCAAAATATTGCTTCCTGCTATATCATTAGCAACGCGGAGTGCTCGCAGTCTGAGTACTTCCAGGTCGCTGTCTCTTCAAATTTTTACACTGGCACCGGGGGAGGTGGTGCACAGGCACGGTGCAACATGGGTGAGCCATGCAAGCAAGCTGACTACCCGCCTAGGAAACTCTTCTATTTTTCTTGCTTAAAAATACATGTCGGAAAGAGTCCTTAGTAAAGGGTCTTGATCGGGCAAGCAGTGTGGTGCATCGCCCTTGATCAATGTGCCTACCGCTGCAAAGCTCAAGGCCCATTAGTGAGCTGCCTTTACAGATGCGGGGTCAACAACAAGCAGACTACAGGTTTGGACATCTAGTTGGGACGTGGTACCTTGGCTGTTCACTGTGCGGGCTCGTGTCAGTGCTAGCTAATCAACAGAAGACCCAACAGGTTGCATTGATAGGTTTTAAAGCAAAGTCACGAATGCTACAGCACCTTGAATGGATTACCCACAACACTTCTTTCGGTTCTGCTCATCTTTTCTTGGCCTTTTGTATTGGTTTGGGGTCTGAGGATCCATCTCCGCTAGTACTGGAAGCATAACTCTTGCTTTGTTGCCGTTTCCTGCTGAAGTTCAAACGAAGTCAAACATGGCGCCTTGCAGCACAAGCCTAGAAGGCATGTCATAGACCTAGACAACAAGAAGGACGCAATCATGACAACTTAGGAAGTTGGAACTGGTGTGTTGTCAGTGGACTGATTAGCACTAGCTTTTTGCTGACCTGTGCTGCAGGGACACTAAGACTACCTGCTGGGTCCGGGGGCGGTGACCCTCACTTGTCCGTGGCAATTCCCGCCGCAAACCGGACTGAGGAATTGTTCTTTGATTTCATGGGAGCTGTGGGAAATTTCTACTGTATGTTGACAGAATCGCAATCCAGGTGGGTGTTCAGGAGTGCTTCTTCCGCTTTGAGCACAGTACCGACCTTCTCAAAGCGTCAACCGAGTCCTTTCAGGGTCTATGATAGTGAACATAAAAAATCTTACATATATGCAACAGCATATGTAAAAGACCAAGTCAAGGTAAACAAAATCTAGATTTTTCATCTGCCTGCTGAGCTGATCTTGAAAGAATGATTAACCTCTACCGACATGCCAAGTTAACTGAACCTATTGTGTTAAACCTTCGCGTACCTTCATAAAGTTGGGAGATTGTTGCGCTTACAGGCTCCAGAACTCAAGAACCTACCAGGGCGCCTTTATAAAGGCTCAGAAAAGGAACATCCCCCCTGTGAACAAGTACAGGTTAAAATGCGCTAGATCTGGTGTTGACAAAGCAGACGCATCGAGCAGCCTCATTCGCCTGTAACGATTCGAAGTGAGCAGGGTCATCAAGTGAGCACTGCATGTTTGCTCGTTTACCTGGTCCCAAAAACGCTGACTTAGATCCTTGACTCACGTTGAGGATATGTGCCGTTGAATAGCCTGTCAATGTTGCACAACACGAGTGGCGAATTGGTAGCTGAACAAAAAAGAACAACCTGCTTGCCTTTCCTGCGCAGTTCAACGTTCGAATGAAGGGCGACGACCAGCAGCCCGGGCTGACGTGGATGGACGCCATCGGGCTGACGTATTTAAGCTCCTCGGGCTCCCGCAAAAGCATCAGCATCGTCCTGGACCAGTTACTGGCTGATGCGGGGAAACACCCTTTCGTTGTTACGTTCGGGGAAGATGACGTCACTGAAGCCATTGTGAGGCTCCGGATCTCAAGCGTCTCTTCCTTGCATCATGTGGAGCCCGTTCGTTTGGCGGAAACCTACGTGGATTTTGTGCTGGCTTTCTTGACTCCAAAAATCTGCGAGTCGCCAGATCAACATCAAGTAAGAGTGTCCAGTGATGAGCATCCGATCCTTCCGTTTTTACTCTTTTGCAGTTCCGATCTTCTACTCCAGGACTGGTGCTGTTGCCAAAGTCTGAGCTCTTGCAAAGGCTTCGCGTTGAGCAGGCTCCATTCTTAACCTTTCCGTCAATCTTAAGACGGCTCCTATTATATTCGCTTTTTCCAAGCACTCAGATGATCCAGCGATAAGTATATGCCTATCTTTGCAGGACACATTGACGGCGTGGAAGAGCCCGGATGGCGTGGCAGCCGTGCACCGCTCCGCTGACGTCATCGCCCAGCTGACCGTGACGATCGCGGGCCTTCTAGAGATGGAGCTGACCACCGATAAAGACGGCATCCACTTTCTCAACTTCGACCTCAAGAAGATCGTCACCAGCCCACGTGTCCATGGGGTGAGCTACAAACGACTCCGGTGTGAAGTCTTTTTTGATGATGGCCTATATATGCATACTGTTTGTTTTGAATTGTGGAAGGTTTCAAAGTCAGGTTGCTTCAGCATGTTACGAAACGGTATGTCGACGCCAGAAACTTTCAACGTGGAGTTGCTGTCTGCCAGCCCAAGAAACCCTTTTCCCGTTTCACAGTCAGGCTGCCCCTGATGCAACCAACTTCAACCTGGCTACTGCCGATAAACAGACTCACAAATGGTGTCCTTCTTTTCGAAAGAAGCAACCAGACCGTTCGAAAGGACCCAGCGTCAAGTGCGATGCCTAGCGGCTCATGATCGAGCTTAGCCATTCAAGTTTGACCAGGGTTGAGTGGTCAAGCTTCTGGCGCTTGCAAAACGTACCCCACGATTTACGCTTCTTTGACTGGGTCTGCCGCCGTGTCAGAAACCTTCTGGGTCGAATGCGCTCAGGTCAATTGACAGCATACAGGTTAGCTGTCCGTTGGAGAGCCTGCCTTCTCCGCGTCGGTGACGACAGCCTTACGTCAGCACCACTTGCAAATGGCACCTTTTCACGCTCAAAGGACAAGGACCGAGAGAGGCACCCGTCTTGCAAACGAGCGCGCTGTGCGGTCGCTCTTTACACTCACGCTAGTGCGTTTGTGTACACTCACGCTAGTGCGTTTGTGTAAGACTTGTTTCCAAATTGGGCTTCACTTCTTCAGTACTGATTCTATTTCTTTCGCCAGGTGTTGGGTCAGATGTACGCGCCCGGTGCGGTGGAAGAGCGCCTCGCGATGGGCACACTCGAGGGCTTCAACCACCGCGAGTACGTGGAGGGGACGGAAGAAGACTACGAGACCTCCAGCCTTACGGCGCCCGACTGCAGCTACACCAAATTCGACCTGGTGAGTTCATCAAAATGCACGGTCAACTTTACGAGCTTGTCTCCCACTGCTTGTACTACCGGTTCTTTCCGAAGTGAGACGGACTCCCTGCAATATGAAAAGTCGTCAATTAAACCACGCATGTCCTGGCTTGATCTTTTTGAGTGGGATGATCCGCCTGAATCTTCGACATTAGATGGATCCTTGGCAGCCCCTTAGCTCTGCGCTTCATGACTTGTTTTGCCCCCTTCATACCTAGATTCGCTTTCTCGTTGGCCGTTGAGTCAGTCCGTGCTTCAAAAGCTTTGGACAACATTTATCAACCGTTTCTTCGGCTGGAGACTTACTAGCGCGCATTCTTGTCGTTTGTGCTTCCATAACTAATGAAGCTAGAACACCCGTTAGTCCACTTCGAATGTCAGGCTGACGCACAGCTACTGTTCTGCGCAGCCGCGCTTCGAGGCCACGACGTCACTACCGAGAGCGTTGGGGACCGCTTCCTTGCCAACCCAAACTCGCCGCAAGCAGCTCTCAACCTCGGTCGTGGAGTGTCGCCAGATTAAGCACACCGCCAAGGGGGTGTCCCTAGTCTGCACCGGCCAGTGATAGCGTTGCAGTTTGTGAGGTTCGTTGTAAAGGGCTTGCAGCATATGCCCTATGACGTCGTCGTTGTCAAATGAAGTGCGGGAGAAAGCTCTCACCAGTTACCGGAAAAGCGTTTGCCGGAGAGCCGGACCCGGACGTCCTTGCTAAGCCACAATCACGCCTAGTTCTGCGCGTGGCCGCGTTGAAAAGGACATTCGTTCGTTGGGACGCCGCTCAATAAAGTAGAGACTTTGGTTGGATCTTCAGGCGGCTCGCTCAAACAGAACACGGGCGGCGTACGAGAACCTTTCCAGGTGGCGGCGTTCCCGAAACACTTAAGCTGCATATCATGCTACCGTTGTACAAAGGTTGCCCCAGCTAACAAGAAGCTGCTACTAGTCAGTCAATAACCTGGGCGGAGAGTCGAAGCGGTCGTGTTGTAAGAAAGGACAATCGCCCTTTTTGTCAATTAGAGATTGGAAGCGGGGTTGATCAGAAGCTCGTCCCGTAGCCAACAGCGGTTGAGTAACTCCTAGATGGTCTAAGGGACAAGCCAAAATTGCGTTTATCAACGAATTGCAGGGCCCTATCGAAGGATGTATGTTTGGGAGACAGTCTGTCTCCAGACAGACAGCCCTACAGCCAAGATTCTGCCCCTCTTGATTGGTTGGGCTGATTACGTTACATGGGCTGATTACGATTGCTAGTACGCGGCTATAGGCCAATGCATCGGATCGATTTGGGCTTTCTGATATCGAGAACCATAAGGTAACCATGGTGGTAGCCCATGCACCTTGTGCCGCTCGATCGATTACTATTCTTTCGTGAACCATCATAAAAAACGGCAATGATTTTTGCAAACGGCAAAGAGGGTCAGGTACGACCATATTTTCGGCTCAGAGATTGCAATATGCATTGATCGTATTATCTGTCAATCGGCCCCGGTCACGTGCAAATTATCCACCCGATCGATCATCAACCTAGCCGTCAGGACACTGAATGCGATCCTGCTAGCTGAGTCTACCTATTTTAGAGATCTAGCTTATGGGCCATATACCGGGCAGTTTGTTTCAGGGTCCTCCTCCGCCCTCTTGCCCTGTATCCCTCACCCTCCCTCACTTCGATTTTCCTGGGCGCACTTTTTCTGTTCTGCGATTTCATGTGGGTTCTGTTCCCACCGATCTCTGGCTGACGTCACCAACTCCACTGCCGCTCCAATTGTCGACCTAATTTATTCTTTCACGTGGCACTTCGAGTGTTTCGGTCCTGAACACTGCTAACGCTCCAAGATTGCGCGCGCGTCATGCTGACGTACGTTGCTGCTGAAGTTTCCGTCTTGAAAGCATCATTCGGCGCCCTGAGGGGCCGTTCCGCCTGAGCTGTATACCGTTTAGGAGGCAACTCTGGAACGGAACAAAGCAACGAAGAAGAGCAGAGGACACACGGACAATCGAAGATGGAAGAGAGCGTGAACGGAACTCAAAGGGAACTGAAACGGAACGGAAACGGAATGAGGCGCATGAGCTTGGGCTGCTTCTTCATGACGGTTGAATAGAAAGTGGCGCCAAGAGATTCCGTCCCAGAAGAACCTGAAAAGCGGGGCGACAAAGCTTTGCTGGTGGCTAAGATCCGGAAGCTTTTTTTACGCGCTAAAATTCTGGCTGATCCGCGCTCAAAGGATGATATTTTTGGTGGTTCAGTGGGGCACTCTCACAACCGTCTCACCCCTGATTGCCTCGCCGCATCCGACTTGGATGGCAAAAACGGTTGCACTCGATAACACGATAGCTCGGACGCTCCTTGTGTTGGAACGTGCATTGATTGCCGGCGAAATTGATGGACCGGGGCTCGAACGTCCGTGCCTACACGTGACATAAATGAATGGCAGGAGATTGAGGAAATTTATGGCATCTGGTTTCTGTGGTTCACCGAATCG